GGAGAGAACTATCAATGTGTGGTTGCCTCTTGCGTGCCCCCAGCTGAAGACCTGGCCTGCAACCCAGGCCTGTGCCCTGACCAGGAATCAAACCGACAGTCCTTTGGTTCACAGGCTGGCACTCAATCCACTGAGCTGCACCAGCCAGGAACAAAACAACTTGATTGTCTTACATTTCTGTCGGCAAGAAGTCTGATTGGGGTCTCCCTGGGCTAAAATCAAGGGGTCAGCAGGGCTTTGTTTCCTTCTGGAGGCTCTAGGGGAGAATCCATTCACACCTTTTCCATCTTCTGGAAGCTGCCTTGTGCGTGTTCCTTGGCTCCTGTCCCTTCCTTTCATCACCCTGACTTCCTTTCCTGCCTAGCTCTTCCCTTGATAAGAACCCTTATGATTCTATTGGCCCACCAAGCAACCAAAATAATCTCCCTGTTTTAAGATCAGTTTAAATTCCTCTTTGCGGTATAACCTAACAACCCATTCGCAGGTTGTGGGGATTAGCATGTGGATATCCTCAGAGGCCCACAATCTGAATAATGGCTGTAGATAAGATAGTAGCAGCGTAGCAATGGTTATTTCCTGATTTGGACAACTGTATTGTAGTCATGTAAGAAAGTTCCCTATCTTTAGGAAACATACATCAAAGTATTTATGGGTAAAGGGACAGAGTGCCTGCAATTTAAACCAATCCTGCTCTCTCTTGCCTCTTCCTTCTATCCACAGAGAGCAAGAGGAAGAGCAGCAGAACTCTTTCTAATGTAGTAAAATATTAACATTGAGGGCATCTGGGTAAACAGCATCGAAGACTGTTTTGAACTATTCTTGTAAATTTTCTGTAAGTGTGAAAATGTGTAATAAAAAATGTTAATGTAATCTAAATGTTAATGTAATCGTTGTTCTAAGTAGTCATTTCTAATGAATACTTAAATTTGTCACATATTATTATGAATGACATGTTCATTTGGATGGATCCTTAAAATTTTCTTTCGAAGCTTTACGGACATTTTAGCAATTTGTTTAATGACATTATGTGCAATTAACTATGAATATGTTATACATCGGGAAAGTAAAATCCATTGTTTTGGACTCCACACTCCTGTTGGCCCATAGCTTGGGCATTAATGTTGAGTAATCTGTTTGTGTTTTAAAATTCAGTATTCCTTTAGAAATGGGGGTCTTGAAAAAGAAGGTGTTTAAAAGCAGGCAAAAGACTGTAGTTAAGAGCATTCTACCAATATTAATTTCTTAGTTTTGATAAACATACCGTGGTTCGATCACGTGTTACCATTAGAAGGACCTGGGTGAAGGCAGAGACCGGTGAGGCCACTTTAGGCTCCTTATCCCGAACCTAAGCAGGGGGAAGGGAAAGGGGGGGCAAGCCAAGAGCAGCAGAAGGTGGTGCGAGCTGGGGGCTGCATGTGGCCCAGGCTGCTTGAGGGTGACCGGGTTCCAAGTAACGATTCTGCTCCTAACTGGTTCCCTGACATCGGGCAGCTTGCTAATATACAGGGGTAGGCAAAAGTAAGTTTACAGTTGTAATATAAATAAATAATACAATAATCAATAAATATTAACACAAGAATAAACTTACAGGTACTTACAACTGTAAACCTACTTTTGCCCCACCCTTGTATTTAAATTCTGCCTTGATCTCGCCAAAAATAAAAATAAAAAAAGGACTTGAGGAAGCTTCTAATAAAATATATTTCAAATATGGCATACAACGCAAGCTGTCTTGATAGTGCCAGTCCTTCTAAAGTCCCTAGAAACTTAATTAAAGAGGGCAGCCCATCTGGAATCTACATGGTGAAACTCATGTCTCTGGCCGGCTCTGAGCCTCCGTAGCCTCCCGACCGAGACAGCACAGAGGGCAGACTGTCTGAGCCACGAGAGATCAGCAGGTTGTAACACAAACTTTTCTGACCAGGCTAAACATGTAATCACGAAAATCGCAACTGTCTGTCCCGAGCCTTTATCTCGGACGCTGGCTCAGCACCCCGGGAAGGTATAATCCGCCCCAGACAGTTCTGCTGAGGCTGGACTTGTGCTTATGCTGCATGAACCGCAACTTGGAGACCATGCTCAGGAGGAAAGAAGCAGCCATGGAAGAAATGGTGGGGATCAAGTAACAGAGAAGAGCAAAGAAAATCAGGATTGTACATCCTAGAAGGTGGGCACTGAATATTCAGAAAGAAACTGCAGTAAATTCTTAACACTTAGTTGCCGCGGCACAAAATTTGATGATCGCATTTAGTTACTGCAATGGCAAAGGATCTCAGTAGCAGGGCAGACACCAGGGATGGGCCCTGAAAGCATCGATCTGAGGTTCAAGTAGACTGTTTTGTTACTAGCCATGGTAGAAACAGATCATGGGAGGGTGGAAGGGTGGTTCTCAAAGGTAGAGTAGGCACATTTCACAGAAAATCACTTAAATTGACTTGGACACAACCGTGGGAACAATGCTGTAACAGGGCGTTACACTGTTGACCAACGTATAATGCTCAGCTTTTTATAGAAATAAACACAAACTGTTCTCAATTCATCATGAGCCACTATTGCCTCGACTACAAGACTTTCTGAGGTGCATATACAAAGTGGGTAAAATATTTATATCGATTTCAATTTACTGGGTCCATTCCAAGGAGCTAGAGGAAAAGGGAATTAATGTTGTAACGTGGGCCAGAGCCAGGGATACCTACAGAAGGGGCTGCGGGTGAAACTTGCAGACACCTGTGTGGCACGGGGAGCGGCTGTGGGGAGCCCCGGGAGGGGGCCTCGCAGACTGGATTGCTGACTGCGTAGGCCGATGCGTGGGGTGTGCGGTGCCATTTGGTCAAAGACAGCAGTTTCACCTCTCTTGCTGCAAATCCCTGCTTAGGTGGGTGTGTTGGCAAGAGAGGGCATTGGCAAGTGTCTGTAAGCCTCCTTCTCTGCTCACAGCAGGGAAAGCGTGCCAAGTATAGGAGAAAAGGCAGATGAGGAAGGTATGGACCACATTCACCTCTTTTAGACAACCTGAGTGACTACTAGGCCTCCTCAGCCCTGAGGACGTGGCCATGTGCCTGCATCCTAGGGAGTAGGGGGGAGGTAGAGGTGGGCGGGACACCTCATCAAAAAACGCGTGTCCAAGGATCATGCTGGAAGCCAGTACAAGGCTGGGGGTGTAGTGGACACAAGGAAGGACTGGCTAGTTTCAACAGAGCGGTGACCTTCCAGTAATGGGGAGGGGAAAGGACATTCTAGGTAGAAAGAAGAGTTAAAGCAGAGACAGGGAGGTTTTATAACACTTAAAATGTGCATTTTCTCACATTTGAATTGCAAATCAGGGATTTTTAAGCTTTGCCTAGGACTTCTGTTAGATGTTGAGTATTTCCCTTTCTGAAGCATGCATTCGATTTCTAGGTAGAATTTTATTCGTTCATAGAGAGCAGGTATAACCCTTCTGGAAGACCCAGCACAAACATAAAGCCCTCTAGCTGATGACTCCTGACCCAGTGGAGCCTCCGGCTAACTAGAGTTTCTTATTTTCCACTCCAACTATTAATACGCACTTCACTTAAACCTACTTAGTGTGAATGGGCAAAATTACCTACCATGTACAATTAATTGTGTCATTTGTTTCCGTAAGCTATGGGCCCGGGGGTATTTGATGTTTCCTAGGGCTGGGTCTTTCCTCACCTTAAGAAGGTGCCACCTGCTCTCTCTCTTGACTCTCCTTGGCTCCAGGGTCTTCTCCAGGCTTTGTGCTTTGAGCTTAATGGGGTGGAGTTGGTGAATTCAGATTTCTCTGGGGCTACCATGCTTATTTAAGGAGTGAGCCTTGGGGGATTTTTGAGTCACTTTACGCAGGTACCAACATTTGGGATATTGCTGACCATAAAACAAAAGGACTGGGAGCAAGTTTTTAAAATCTCACCTGTCACTGTGACAAGGTAACTAGAAAGGATGTATTTGCATTTGAATTGGATCCTACAAATGGACGTGTAAGAAGCTAGTAACTAGTGCCCTCTAAAGCTCTCTCTGTGGAAGTCGAATGTGAAGAGTTCGGGTTTTTGTTTACAGATTACATAGTTACAAGGATTTATATGACGGGAAAGTGGCATGTCATCCACAGGGACACAGCGCTATATAAGCGGCAGAGGGAAGCAAAGCCCGCCTGCTGTCTCTCCGGTTCCAACAGTGTTCACCTGGGCTCAGGTTTCCCTGCTGGCTCAGCCCTCCAGATGGGCGGAGGTGCAATGAGCTATTTCTGGCTAGGCCAGCACATTCCTACTCACCTTTTCTTTTTATTCCATTACATGTTTGAGTGTTTCTCATCATCTGAAGAAAACTACCTTTAGCTAAACATGTGTGTATTTAAAAGGTGAAACAGCTTTTTACATATGGTTGCTAATTTAGGAAGCCCCAATGATTTAAGAATAATCTTCAGCAGTCACTGATCAAATTATGAGATTATACCAGGGGATAAACTGCAGCCAGCAGACCCAGGGCCTGTGTTTGTAAATAGTCTCATCAGGACGCAGCCACACACATATGGTCACAGGTTGTCCACAGCTGCTTCCCTCCTACAAGAGTGAAGTAGTTGTAACAGATACTGTGCAGCGGTGTCCAACCAGTGGCCCGCGGGCCACATGCAGCCCAAGAGGGCTGTGAATGCGGCCCAACATGAAACTTTAAATTTACCAAAAACATTATGAGATTTTTTGGTGACTACGTGTTGCAATGTATTTAATGTGTGGCCTAAGACAACTCTTCTTCTAGTGTGGCCCAAAGATGCCAAAAGGTTGGACACCCCTGGGACAACATGCAAAATCTCAAATAAATATTTGCCAACCTCTGGGCTATATCAAAGTATCCCAATCTGAGAAGGGTAGAAGAAAAACAAAATTACACACACACATACACACGGCATTGTGCTCAGGAGAGTAAGTAGCCGAGAGAAAACGTTGAGTAGCTTTACCTTCATCATATCTTTTAAAACATCTTCTGTCCCCAGTACTCAAGCCACACCAAATATAGAGGGTTACAAATATTCAGATTTTATTATAAATAAAATACTGGTTTTTTTAAACATAAAAAATGCCAAGTGTTGCATTTTATTCACCAACTTGGAGAGCAAGACTGCAGAAATGAAGGCAAATAGCTAAAGTGAAGGCACGTGTCAAAGGGCCACAGTTGGAATTAAAAAATAAAGTCCCAGGGGACAGCTGTATATGTCCCGTGACACCCAGCAGTCCGCAGCAGCCACCCTGTCAATTCTATTAATGCAAAATACAGATAACTGGAACCATACAATAAAACAATGGCTATATTGCAAGAGTGTAATCAAGGTATCATCTTATAAAGAACTTTTATTTAAAAATAAAATTCTGTTTAAAAATATACCACACAGATGGAGGAGAAAAGAAAAAAAAAAAAAAGAAAGAAAGAAAGAAAAAAAAAGCCAACAAATTCTAAAAATTTCACTGGGGCCTAACTAAGACTTACCGGAGTGAACCTGACCCATAGGCTAGATGAAAAACTACACTAGCAGTCTCTCTTCAGTCCTTTTCCTGTAACCTTGACCACAATGTCTCTGTTAGGAAATGGCCACTTGACAAAAGGAACTAGCTAGGAAACACTCATGTGACAACTTGGCAAGAACGAGCCATGCCTCCTGGGCTAGCCGAAGAGACCTGAGAGAAGCAGGAGAAAGCTCCGGGGTACGACAGGTGAAAACATATTAAGTCAGCTCTGGTGCGCAAGGGGAGATGGGAAGGGGCAGAACTGAGTTACACGGCTCTGTCTGCAGCACTATCCCTGATGCTACGCACTCTCAGTAATTACGCAATCTCTCATAAAATAGACCCCTGCGGCCGAAACCACTGCAGAAAGGGCATTTCTAGCTCCCTCCTGGCTAGAGCCACACTGATGTTGAAGATACCCCTCTGCACAATGTCCTCACTCCACCATGCCCGGCGGCCTGGCGTCCCTGCTCTGGAGCAGGCATGAAGAATGACACTGTGCTGTTGTTAGGGACACCAGGACTGCAATGGGACAGGGGTCTAGGTTCCTCTTGACACGGGCTGTGTGTGGAGGAACAGAGGCTGATGTTAACGTTACAGAAAGGGCACGCTGCAAACACAAGGCGAAGGACAAAGCAATGGGGACCAGGTACAATCCAAAGAACTGCAGATGGGAGGGGAGGAGGTGATCAGACACATTGTGCCAGGGAAGAGGAAAAGTGAAGTGAACAGACAGTGCCATTCTAGAAAGAGGAGGAAGTATATTTACATAAATTCCTTACTCTATAATCATGATAAACAAACAAAAAAAAAAAACATTCACACAAAAATATAAATTTGAAATAATTAATAGCACCAGTGTGTCAGATAATAGTTTCTTTCCCCCGCTACGCAAAGTACAAAGTTGCATAGTGTTAAAGGCAATATATGAATCTCAAAGGCAGGTTGGTAGGAGGAAAGGGTCGTGTGGCAGGGAATTGTCACACTGTGATCATAAAAGAAAACTGCAGAGCTGAGGATCAAAAGTTGAGAAGCCCACTAGGAAACTCCACTAAAGGGTCTTCCCTCGACACGTAAGAGGGAAGGGTCAGAGTGGGTCTAAACCACAAAGTGCAGGAACTAGATGGTGTCGGCAGCTGTGTGAACTATTGAGTGCAAGTATTTGCCGCCTGGATTTGGCAAGCCCTGTGTTTTGAGGGATTCTCGAAGACGGGGACATCAGAAGAAAATTAAGGCCAAGGGTCCAATGTTTCATCCCTTCCCAATGGAAGAAAAATGGACATACGGGATCCTGACAATTAGAGTTGCACCCACGTTTTATCCGTTTGCTAGAAAAGACTAGGGCTTGTTTTTCTTTTGTTCTGTTTGCCAAGATCTTAGGGACCAACTGCTGTTCTCTGCCAAGTAACAGCACTAGTTCCCATACTAACATACTAACAAAGCTCTAAGAATTAGGTTTTGAAGAGAAAACTTTAGTGGTTATCATATCCCTAATTCTTCTGCATAAACTCCATTGCTAGGAATACCAAAAGATGTCTGTTGGCAAGTACAAGTTGCCCATCCAGATTTAAATGATCAGCTGCCCAAAGATCTGAAAAAAGTTTATCCTCCTAGTCAATTATTAACATAGGAGAAAGTGTTCAGCCTACTTCTGCAGTCTCATATTCCCCTGGAGACTGTCATAAATAATTGCATCCTTACCCGGGGATGGCTCAGTGTCCTATACTCAAAGTAGCTAAAACAACTGGTGATGGCTCTTGACATTCTAAAGGACCGATACCTTTGGCACAGGATGTTGAGTTACTTTTGCTTAAAAGGGGGAGGGGCAGGGGATGGAGATGCATTTTCTTTAGCTATAGACTGGATATACTGGCCATCACAATGCCACTCTGAGCAGCCAAACTTTTTCCTTCATAGAAACAAGAGTACTGAGACTGAGGAGGTTCTGTTGGCATCGGTGAGCAAGGGAGGGCTACTTGCTCAGCCCCGGCATACAATGGTTCCCACGAAGTGCTTACGCCACTGAACAACGACGTAGGAGGCCACGTCCTTATGCGACTCGGAAGGGGAAGTGTGGGTAAGGGAGCGCCGTTAGTGGAAGAGAGACTTTATTAGATAAAACCCTTTGTTCCCAATTCACGATGTTTAATTTTGCTTCTCTTTAAACTTTGTGACTTTTCCTGGTTCAAAAGGACAGTGGTGGAGAGCAGCAGAGAAGTGGGGGTCTGAAAATGTAATCTTTGTGTTAAGGCACCGTAGGGCCTCACAACGGCTCCCCGCGGGGAGGGCTGCCTCCCAGCCCCAAAGGAAGACTCTAGGGCTTCTCGATGGATGGGGTGTTGAAGCAGCCAGACGGCAAGGTCTTCCTGATGTCCTCCAGGTTGCGGATGTCCTTCATGATCTCCTCGATGTCTCTGTTGTAGTCCATGATGGCAGCCTCCTGCTTCCTGGCCTCGTTCTCCAGGTCAGACACTTTCCTGTCTAGATCACTGACTTTCATTTCGTCTTTGGCTTTGTTCAGCGTGCCTTCGATCTCATTGAGCTTGTTCAAGTCCACTGTGTCTAGCTGCCCTGTAGAGTCAAAGAGGACACAGAAGAAAACGATTTTTCAAATCCTTCAGCAAGGATTATGAGTTCACCCCACAAACACCCACTCACCTTTGAATAAAGCCCACAGCTGCCACGAGGACCAGGCAGCCTGCAGACATGGATTGTTCCTCTTGCTCATGGGCATAAGCAACAAAACCAAGAACTGACGCTGGCCTAAGCCAGCAGGAATGGCGAGAACAAGGGATGACTACTGGGCTGGCTGTTTTCTCCTGAGAAAATGGTTTTTGTGAAATGTTTTCTAAATACACAGCTGTCATATTCTAGACTATAAACCTCATTTGTGGTTTTGAAGGTCACCTGGTGACATTTAATGCCTTTTTCATGCTTATAGGTGTAATCTGTGTGTCACTTAAGTGCCATATAATGTAAACAAAAACTTGTGAGCTAGAACCCTGAGCCCTTCAACACTCAGACTCCAGGGAAGCTGGGCTGGCTGATTCTGGAAGTCAGGTCCTGCTCTTGAGAGTGAGACACTACCAGGAGCCCTCCTATGGAAAATGGCCAGAGTTATAACGCTGAAATTATTTTGGGAAAGCTTCACTTTAAAATGAGCAAGAAAAAAGGTTCTTTTCAAATGAATTGCTTCCATAGCAAATGAAAGCAAACAGCTGCACAAAAATCAGCATTTGACACACATCGTACTTGATAAATTTCTCACAAGGCAATGGCCTTGTACAGGTGATTCTCAGATGCTCAGTAATCTGCCCAAGTTCTCACAGCTTACAGACAACAAAGCAAAGATTCCAACCCAAGTCCGACAAACTTTAAAATCCAGCTCTTTCTGCCATACAAAGCTACCTTGTATAGCTTGCTATCATTGAAAAACCATCTGCTAGCACATAATTTATTTTTCTTGCCTCTCTCCCCACCAAAAAAGAGACACGGACCAAACTTCAAAGGCTAGGAAATGAATGGACACTGCCCAGCCACAAAGCTGTCTGTACTGACTGAAGTATTCCCACTTTTTAATGGTGGTAAAGTACATCTGTCTTACAGTGACTTCTGCTCCCTATCAAATTGGATTAAAAGAGGGTTTCCTTGAAAAATCAAGCCTTCTCTTTCTTTTAGCATATAAGTATCAATCAAGTCATCAGATGATCCTTTCATTGGCAAATAAAGAGAATTCCAGGCAGTGAAGTCATCACCAGTAAAGTGTTCTTTTATCCTATTGCTGAAACCCTTTAAAGACACTGGCAGCAGGATGAGCTAAGAGCAATCACTGTTCAGTTGCATCATAAACCTCGACCAGAAACGAGCCGCTCTTTACTGGCAGCCCGTCTCCAAAATTTCGTGAGTCCCTGGACCACACACAGTCAGACTCCAATACTGAGGTCAGATTCCATGGAAGGGCCTCATAGATCCTCACTGAATTGATAAGACCTAAAGTCAGGATTCAGTTCACACAATAGTCACCTTACATATAATATCTATTTTCAGCCAACTAGATCAGATCCCAAGAGCAGTGCAAAGAATTCGGAGGAGGCCTAAAATGACTCTATGGCTACTCACCCAGCTGCTCTAGGAGGTCATTAACAAGGTTGAGGAGGCTGGTGACGGAGTTCTTGGCCTTCCTGGCATTGATCTCTGCTTCCTGAGCAGCCTGGGAGGCCTGCATGGAGGAGAGCCACAAATGACGCACAGAGTCCTGACGGCGTGTTTCCATCTTCTTGAAATATTCCTTCCCCAGGGAGCCAGCACGTTTCAGATGCTTTCCCCCTTTGTAACTCATAAAACCACCGTTTCTCACTGTAGGGTTTCTTTTTTTTGGGGGGGGGGTCATATCTTTATGTTGGGGGTGTCGCAATTTTTAATTCATAAAACAGTCACGAATAGGCACTCACTATGCCTACACTAACTGTGTGTATATTTGAAAGATCAAAATTATCTCCTTTTCTCTCATTCTCAACCAACGATTCATGGAGGTATATTCATAATGAAATCCACCAAGCAGAAACAAGTTATTTTTAAAGAAGGGGCATAAAAGCTACATTTTAGGCCCAAAATACCTCCTTCAGAACACTCTTAGGGACTTACAAATGTCCTATTCTGAGCCCTGCTCAGGTGGCTCAGTTGGTTAGAACATCATCCTGTACACCAGAAGTCTGCAGGTTCGATCCCCAGTTGGGGCATTGATCAATTGTTTCTCTCCCTCTCCCTTTCTCTCTGTCTAAAATCAATAAACATACACTTGGGAGAGGATTTAAAAAATAATAAAAAAAAAAAGGAAATGTCCTAGTCTCAGAAAACATTTATCATCAGCATGGCACTCTTATAACTGTGTCCCTGACCTGCACACGCCCGCCCGCATGCATGCACACACACAGAACACACACACTGGGGCAAAACAATTTACATTTTAGAAATCAACCCAAGGTAAATATGTTTGGGAAAATTCCATGAAACCTGAATAAATACACTTGTGCGTGAGTCACAGGAGATGGCCGGGGAAGAGGAAGTGTCTAAACATCAGAACACAGATGCTCTCACAAATCAATCCAGCTAGGACACAAACAAGCGGCTTCGAGCTCCCTGCCGCATTATTGTTTTTCCTAGTTTCGAGGTCAAGGCAACACCACATTTTTGGACAGGAACAATGTCAAAATTTTAGAAAGAAAGAGAGCAAGGGGTAAAACCCTTCCCAAATCAATGCTTAATCTTTGTGCAGGTCCTAGCCAGACACTCCTACTGAGCCTCACAGGCCTTTCTGTGCACAGAAGGACCCAGCTATGACCTGCTGAGCACAGCGTGACCGCGGTGACCCTGCCGCCCCTCGTCCGGGAACAGCCAAGAGCCTGCACTCTTTTGCTAAAAAACAAAACAAACCATGTTACGGACTCAGACCACACTGGCCCCATGCTGGCCTTCTGGGATCGATGGAAACATAGGTGGGATAGCGTATGTGGCGGTGCTTCGTGCCCCTTAGAAGTTAATTACCAAAAGAAGCAAACAAATGGGTCTTCTTTCCACCCTTTGAATTGAGTCTATACCTTTTTTTGAAGCTTATGAAGAGCACAGCCTTCTCCTTCTTTCAATAGGCTCTAAAAAGAATGTCTCTACAACCAGATTACTGATGAAATACACAGACCCTCAGCTAATACGAGAAATACGTATTTTTACTATGTGGGAATTTCCACTTGAGCCACACCTTGGTACGGAAATGTCGACAATCCAAGGAAAAAAAAAGCATAATAAAATAGAGTGTTTGCACAGGGATGCTTCCTGTTATCACTTCCTAAGTCTTCTTAACCTACATTAACTGGCTAGTATTGCTCCTTCCCACCCCCGGGTAGAAATGACCCGTAGTGAAGGACCTGTTTTTTAGCATGTGTCCTAACCAGGGACTGAACCAGCAACCTTTTGCTTTGCAGGATGATGCCCACCCAACTGAGCCACACTGGCCAGGGCAAATTTGGTACGTGCTGTCAGCTTCAAAAATGTCTTTTTACATAAGAAACTGATCTTTGTCCCTAGGGAGCAAGTTTGCTGGGAGAACAAGAGCAGGAAGGAAATGAACTTTTCATTGCATCCTTCTAAGCTCCTTTTTGACTTTCTATGCTCTGTGAATTACCCATTCAAAAACATAAACGCATACTCTTAAATATCCTAAAACCTCAGATGTGCAAAACAATGCTTCGATTTTAACTGAGAGCAGCTTCGGAACAGGACAATTGTGCAACAACCTGGCAGAAGGTCCAAATTCTTTGTCTTCTATGTAAGTTACTAACCTAGTTCTTGACTATAAAAACACAATGAGAAACAGAAGTCCGTACGAAAGAGACTCTTTTTTTTATGAAACACCCTTCACTTCCTGCCCACGAGCAAGTATATCAGCATCACGTACCATCCCTGCCATCATCATATCTTGGTCGGCATCATCTTGTTTTCGCTTCAGCTCCTTTTCTGCTTCCTGGAGTTGTTTCAACATAGTGTTCACCTCATTGTCCAGGTCTGTGACTTCTGCAAAAGTCCTTTCAGCTTCTGCCTTGGTGCTGGTGGCATTCTAGGCACAACATAAATAATGGTTTAAAAAGCTTTCCCATTCCTTAATCTGTCAAATGGCTCAATAGAACAGGGCAGTAGTTTATACTGTATATTGATTTATGTTATAATATATTTTTGTCTCTTCTCAATCCTTAACCTTTCATGTTCTGTTACTCCCATTTTTAGCTGTGGTCACACAGCTGACAAATGCTAAACATTTAAATGGGGTATATTTTCCACCACATCATATCGATTAGACCCACTTGGATGAATTTTAAATTCAAAGCTGGCCTTGGCCTTGTTCTACTTGGAAGTTCGTCATAATGTACAAAAGACCATTATTCTGAAATATGAATATTTTATACAATACAATCTGAAACTGATCGTTCCAAAGAAACTTAAAAAAATGTGCAATTCTCAAATACATAGTTTTAGAACCAGCACCAATCTCTCCTTTCAATAAAACAAATAGATTGGCCTGTAGGACAAAGCCAGTCTAAAGAAAGTATTCTTTACAATGAATAGAAGAATCCAGCAATGGCAGCCACAGGAATGCTAAACAGGTGGGCTTGGATACAGCAATATGCTTGAATGAGCAGCCTGAAAGTCATTTGGACTTGGCACTCTATACAAGACTGAAGAAAATATCTCAACTGTCCAAGTCAAAGAACTGCGTTTATTTAAAAAGAATCTAATTTTTTTGTAGAAGGCGGCTCTACAGAGGTTCCCGAAGCCACCTACCTCCTCACCACTCAGACCCTGTGGCTGAGACAGTAGAAATTTTAGAGTCAAAGGCCCTTTTCATCAATTCTGCCTCCTTGGTCAGTGTGGTTACCCGCTCTAATGCCAGGGGCGGGGGGTGGGAGGCGGGAACAAGGTCGCTTTAAGATCATTGTACTGAAGTCAAAGGAAAGATTTACGAGGCCTCTTGGGGGTCTGAAAGAAACCAGAAAATGACTGGAGAGATACATGAGCAAAGCCTTTGTTTTGAGGAGAGGCAAGTGCACACCTTCTGGACTGCGCTGGCGATCCTCTCTGCCTCGTGGGCCTTGTTCTTCGCCTCCGTGGCGTCCGCGGCTGCGTTGCCCAGGGCCAGCTGTGCCTCCCTCGTCTTTTCGTTGGCTTCAATTATGGTCTGGTTGATGGCCGGGATTCTCTTCAGTGCTTCCTCTGCAGCAGTCTTGTTATCGTTCACTCGTCTATCAAAGTCTAAAACAAGTTCATGGAATGCATTTGAACTAAGCTCTCAACGAGCCCAAAGGGAACCTTTCGGGGAGCTGCCACTGGACTTCACGTTATGAACAATGAAAGTTAGGGAGAAAAATGAGAAACAGCAGCATGGACTGAAATCTCAGAAAAACAAAGTGCATAGTTCTACACAGCAGATTCACAGGAATGAACACCTGATCCTGGAAAGCGAGTTCTTACCTGAAAGGTTATTGTCATGCAGAGTTCTGAGTGCGCCATCACTACCACCTCGACCAATATTAGAAGCTGCAATTTACTTGTGTTCACTATGTGTTCGCTGCTAAGTTCAGAGCTCTGTGTGTCTGTGATGCAGGCCTTGTATCATTTTTACATGTGAGAAAACTGAGGATTAAAGAGGTAGATAATTTCTCCAAGGATTCCCAGGAAGATGGGGCCTGGGGCTTCTAACAGGAGCCCACTGACACCAGGACCCTGCCACATCCAACCATTTTCCTCTCACGCTTCCCTGTGTATGGGACCTGAGGCTGCTGTATCAGAGAGAAGTCCAGGGCTACACAGTGAATTCAGAACATCTTTTTACCCGGGTGATAAAAAAAAGACACAAAGATTGAAATGCATTTGGCAGAAAAAATTTAAAGGTAAATTCACCAATAGAGGTCAGCTAATAGGTACATCAGGGTTATGCACATTATCCTACCATAAGAAAATTTCCTTTTTCTTTTTTTTCCTACTGAGGTGTGCAGGGGTAAAATGACATGAGCTCTGGTATTTTTCTTGGAAATATTTCATTAAAAATGTAAGGTGGATATTGGGGGATGAAGCAAGTGCAGTAAAAATCGTATAACTCTTGAAGCTGGATGACAGGTATATGGGATTTATTACCGTACAATAGTCCCCCTTATCTGTGGTTTTGCCTTTCATAGTTTCAATTATCAGCAGTCACCCATAGTCCAAAAATATCAAATAGGAAATTCCAGAAACAAACAATTCATTAGTTTTAAGGTGGCATGCTCTATACATGCTCTATAACATACATCTATATGTTATAATAAGATATTTTGGGAGAGACTGCATTTAATTCCTTTTATTATAGCACACTGCTATAATGTTCTATTTTATTGTTAGTTATTATTGATAATCTGCTACTGTGCATAATTTATAATCAAACTTTATGATAGGTATACTATCCATGGTTTTAGGCATCCATTGGCGGTCTTGGAACGTACTGCCCCACAGATAAGGGGCAAATGACTGTATATTCTTTCATACTGTATGTGATTAGAGAGTAAAGGGACTACATGGTAATGGAAAAAAAGACAATAAAAATTTTTTAGAAAAGGGAGACAGGAACTAGACCTTGTGGAGGAAGCATACAAATGGACCCTCATTTGACCCTTTCCTACCTTTCAGGTTGTTGAGAATGTCATTGGCTTCTTGTAAAGTGTTTCTTCCCCTTTTAGCAGCTTCTTCTGCAAGAGCCTTGGCAGCATCGGCTCGGGCTAGCAGTTGGTCGGCAGTCTGCGAACACACGGCAGGTCAGAGGCCAAACCGGCGAGGTTAACTGCCTCTCTCCTGACTGAGCCGGCACCTCTGGGCCACCGCCCTGAGGCCCGCAGGCGCCACGCAGAACGCCCTCCCCCACATGCCTTGGCGTTTGCCGCCTCTGCAACTCTGGCGGCATTACAGGCGCAGCTAACACGTGGACAGTTTCAAATTTTGCCCCGAGAAATGAAGCGGCCTGACAACCAAACTAACCTGCTGTTCGACCTTTCCGCTCTCCAGAAGTTTCTTTACTTCATATTCCTTCTCTCTCATGTCGTCTCTGAGGTCCTCATAATCTTTTAATTTCTGGTCAATCAGACGGTCCAGATCTTCGGCTTCCTTCTTTATTTTATTTGCCTCATTCTGTGAAAAGCAAATGAGATCATTACATTTAAGATCAAACAATGGATGAAAAGATAGGCTTAGTAATTCTACAATACTTAATACTCAATAGGTATTTTTAAAAGAACAACATTGGTCAAGATATGGACCTTACTGTAAAAAGTGAGGTACACTTTACACATGGTGAAATGCACAACTATTAGTTTGATGAATCTAGACAAATATATTTACCTGTCACCGACACCCTTTTCAAGATAAAGAATACTTCCGCCCCAGGAAATTCCCTTGTATCTCTTTCCAGTCTATTTCCACCTCCATCTTTCCACTAATGCAGTTCACTTGTCTGGTTTTCATCCTCACCAGTTAGCTTTGTCTATTCTCAAATTTCATGTATGTGGAATCATGCAGTATGTGCATGCCTACGGAGACCTAAACCTTTATGATAAAAATCAAGTCAATGCCTCAGATGTAAGAAATAAAACTTTTAATAAACTTCAAGTTTATATAAAAAAATTACTTCTACAGAGTCTGCTATGAGGATTCATGATTAGAGTACAGATGAAATAAAACACTTCCACCAATCCCAAAATGTTTTACCTGGCCCAGAGCATGCTAATATAGGGTTTTTGTTTGTTTGTTTGTTTGTTTGTTTTTCATTTAAACTGTTCTCTTTTATTTCTCTCTCCTTCTCAACCAGATAGTGCCTGGAAATTAATGGTCTAGGTGTACTTTGCTTTCATTAATCCATATGTATTATAATCTGGATTTACATTAAAAATTTTAAAGTGACTACTCAGATCACTGAAGTAGTCTTTGCTGTTTCATGCTTATACTCACAGGGTTCTTTACTCCAATCAGTTCTATTAAATATCTAAAACAGAACTTAACTTTACTGTCAGCAGGCGGATGTGGAGGTAGGAACCAGGGTAGGCGCCCTACAGCTGCAGGGCAGAGTAGCTCTTAGCCCAACTGCGTGTGTGTGTCTGTGGCTTGGGGGGCAAGGGCAGGGTGTGGATGGGTGACAGCAGTGACAACCAAAGCCCTGTGCAGACAGGGTGTCTAGCCCGTACCTCCAGGGCCTCCGAGTCCACGGGTGTCAGCTGGGCCACGCTGGCATAGATCTCCACAGCTTTGTCACCGGCCCTCTTGGCCTCCTCATGCACCCGGGCAGCTTGCTTCTCTAGATCCTGCGAGATATTCTTCGCCTGTTCATACCTACGGGACAAGAGATGGGCTTTAGTGAAAAACTCAGTTGTTTTTGGCATCTTAATATTAACTGGATTCATTTTAGTTTAAATCACTAGGACAGTATTTCCAAAACCTCAAAGAAAATGCCACATTAAAATGCTATTGTTTAATACTGACATAGCTGAAATTTGCATTTCACCTCATCTATTCAGAACATAGGGTTTACCTTATACTTTCCTCATTTTGGACACTCTTTAAGTATTGCAGCTTAAGTATCTTTTCTCTCTGTTATTACTCTTTGTCTCTTCTGTTTCCATTTACGCAATTTTAAGTATCATGGCTAGTCTTGTTCCCATTTTCTGCAGTTCAAGCAATTGCATCAAAGAAAATGTCCATCGCACCCCACCCCCTGCTCTAATTATGAAACCATTTGAAAAGCATGATTAACAAAAGAAATCTTACTGCATGGACACATGTCCTGAATTCACCAGCATTTCAATTTTTCATGGAACTGGTGTGATATACAAGAACAATTGAGTGGCTCTAAGCCACTTTGAAATTTCACTCACTTTCTGTTAAGCTCTTCAATCTCCAGTGCTGTTTGATTTTCTCCTGCCAGGGTCTTCAAAAGCAGATTATATGCCTCAGTTGATGTGTCACTGGCTGTGTTTGCCACTCGTACAATGTCATCAGCTTCTTGTTTATGGCTGGATAACATATAAGAAAAAATGAACCTTGAAACAGAACCATCTAATAGGGAAAGAAGCAGAACTTAGGTAATGCTAACATTATTATATGTACATATACTAACGTATATGCACTTCCATAAGTATCAGAAAATCTTATACATTTGGAATTTTGTAATCATTTTAGTGAGCCTGAGTTAAAAATAGTATTCTGTAATTTGAGAAACATAATATTTTCCAAGAAAATCAACACTGTAAAACTTAGAGGAGCAAATGTTTACATGTCTTCAAAAACTTACTTGTAATTAAGAGTAATTTATATATAGAAAAATATGTATGATAGCAAAAAATCATGTATCTACTCGTAAACACAAATCTAAGACCTAATCTATCTAATCACTACTCTGGTTCAGTTACTACATAGTCTTGAAATAGCTTTGACTATTTGGGTTTCTTACATGCAAACCCAATGACTGGCCAAGAAAAGCAACTTGACACCAAATGGCAAGAAACATATCAACAGGCACTCCAGCCAAATAATGAATTTCAGCTGCATAACCACTAGGCATTTTTTTATTTTTTAGCTCTAAAATCTCATATTACATTATCGCACTGCAATATGTAGCCATTCTTTTGGTATGGTAAACTTTCCTTCAAAATCCAAGTATGTAGTACACTGAAATGAACAGAGCTCCAAGACCCAAATTTTCTTGGGAGCCTTCCATAATGTTCTCTGCTGCCTTCTTGTAATCAGAAAATCATGGCTAGGAAACCATGAATGGTCTATGAGCTAAGTTGCACAGCTCACACATCCACAAGTAACAGAAAGAGAGCACACATTTAAGCAAGATGCCAATGTAACTGCCCTAGACACTGAGGCCGGAATTCCAGCATCAGTCTTCTTTAAGCATTCCACATCCACGCGGCCGGCAGGCTGCTCCGCAGTGCATTCAGCGAACGCTTCCTAAGTGCCCACTGTAGGCTACACATTGTTTTAGGCATTTAGGACTTCAGCTGTGAATAAAACACAAACATGCCTGCCTGCACGAAGCTTCCATTCTAGCGATTATATTTTAATAATTTTTTTTAACCTGATGCCCCCTGTAATTTAAAGTCTTCCTAAGAAATTACATTACACTTAATTTTTTTTAAAAAATCAGGAATAAAATAGTCTGTTTCATTTGGCTGATTTTCAAATGTGCTGTGGCTTAGTAAATGTTTTCTACTGAAACCTGAAAAGTCAAACATTTTTATTAAAGAATTAAAAAAAAATTAAAATAACTAAATTCTACTGAGCTTCTTAGTTATCGATGAACTTTAAAGTTTTAAAATTAAACCTCTAGAAATGTCATATTTTTTTTTCAGATGTGCAAATATAATTTCCCTTGAAGCCATCATACTCTAACATTCAAAGTAAATATTCTAATTTCAAATTAAAGAGAAGAAAAGACATAGCTAATAATGTTTCAGACAAGAGAGCAAACTTTGCAAGAATGAGCCATGTGGAAAGGGTTTGTTTTGCGGGCACAGGATGGGAGAACGTGGTCACACCACAGGAAAGCTGTAACTTAACCTTTACACAGGGATCTGGAGATTACCTACCGTTCAGCAAGCTTTCGAGCCTCTTCTGCCAGAAGGGTCATGTTGTTTGGGTCCCCCGTAGACTCTGGCTGTGTGATTGACTGAAGAGGAAATAAACAAAGCACTAGTTTTAAATGACTGAATTATTTAATTTTAATAAAGCAAGTCTCAAAACTAAATTTCTTATAGTGTCATTTAGAAAAAAAAATGCCTCTTCTTAATTTCAGAGATCTTCAATATCAGCGTCCTTAACTGTAGTTTAGTACTTCTATTTTCAGTAAGGGATAAAAGAAGCTAAAATTGCCTAGAGCCATAGAAAGAACAAAGCTGGAGAAAGGACCCAGATGCCTTTGGGTTTTTATCCAGTTCCTGATAACAACTGCAGGAATACTATGAGCAACGTGGCTTTCTAGCTCCAAGTTTGAAGACAAATAAAAAGACACAAGGAGTCAATTTAGTTGAAGGGGCCACAGACCTCCTGCAAATTACCAGGGAATGTGCCACCCCCACTCGCACACCCACCTCAGAGCGTCCCGATCACTCACCACATTGGCAACGGCAACCTTTGCTTTCTCAAGTTCCCTGGTCGCGATTTCAATCAACTGCTCAGTGCTTTCCACCCGGGCACGTGCTTGTTCAGCCAAGTTTCCAGTCTCTTCGATGGTATTCCGGATATTCTGTAAACGGCTAATTTGGCTGGATAAGGTGTTATTCACTCGCTGGAGGCGATCCAACAAATTTTGGTCTACATCTGCAATGGCAATGCAGAAGGGGGTGCATGAATTACCCGAAGCGGGAGGGCATGTCACCTCACACGGAATGTGAGCCAACACAGCATCTTCCTGACAAGTCTTCCCTAAGCCCATCAACAGAGGGGGTGGGCCAGTCATCACAGTGCCCGGTCACACGCGTCACGCTGTGTGCTGCCCCACGTGTGACGATGAGCTCGTCTTTCTTATTCATTACTGTATCCCCAGTTTCATACAGTGATCAGCATAGAGAAGACTCCCAAGAAATGCCTGCTGAAGGAGGGATTTTCATATTCTAGCACATGCCAGAATTCATCATAAAAACACAGTGTGAAGAGCACTGGCAGTCCTGGGAGCCAGCCATTTCTCTAAGCTAGGAAACAAGTAGGTTCGGATGTTGACGTTTGGCAAATTAAATTCATTTTGTATTTTAAACTAAATAGACTCTTGCTGTCACTCCCTACCCCCTGGCATGGCTGTGCAGAAAACTGATTTCTGCTTTTGAAGAGTTCTTCAAATTGTTCTTTATTAATTCAGCCCATTCAACTTAAGCCTCATACCTGGGTCCTGATAGATCAAAAGATAAATATAAGCCCATACAAATATAATTCTGTCATTATGAAAATTCTCACACCATGAAGTTATATTAATATATGAAAACTAATAGGTAAGCCCTATTCAAAACTGACTAGTTCTTATTTTCAGCATGATGCTCAGTGTTGGCATCTAGATTTTCCAAGGAATGTAAAAAATACGAGAGGTCAAAGTTAAGATCAACAAAGAAAATTTACAGGTTTGGAAGACGGCAACTTGTAAGCAGGGCCAATGAAATCCATGCGCAAAGTTGGTGTACTGCAAACTGTTTGCCTAACTCCACCCAGCAGCCCTACTTAGATGACTACTTAAACAAGTCTTGGATAAGCTAAAGATTTTAAAGAAAATACAAAAGATAAAAACAAGCTGAAGTCGCAGGAGATCATTTAATTTCGGAGGCATAAGCAGCCCATGAAGTTATGGAAGCCCTTTCCCTTTCCAGGGGCGTCCGACCCGCGGCCCGCGGGTTGCATGCAGCCCAGGACGGCTGTGGATGCGGCCCGACACAAAATCGTACATTGACTTAAAGCATTATGAGATTTTTTTTGTGATTACATGTTGCAATGTATTTAACGTGTTGCCCAAGACAACTCCTCTTCTTTCAGTGTGACCCAGAGACACCAAAAGGTTGGACACCCCTGCTAGACCTTCAAGAATGTAACAGCTATCAATCTCTGTGGACAGTTCTTCAGAGAAACAAAGAATCTGAAAAGAGAATAGATATCCTAACTGGTAAAATCCTTTCAAATGCCTTCCAATTCCATGTCTCTAACTACAAGACCCAATGGCACCATATAATCTCCCTTTAAAGCTGAAGAATAAACACATGTCGGAACTACAAATGACTACTTCGGGATAGTCCGAAAAGATAAATCACTACAAAGATATTTTTATTTTTGGCTAGTTTGAACCCAAGTAGGAAGGTCAGCCAGGAATTCCATGAATAAGGTCTCAGTGGGAGCAGATTTTAACCCCCGCCTCACTACGGTGCTCCCAAAGCTATCAGAAGCGGCTGTCCGCTACGCTCCCCACTGTTCAGGTAGCTCAAGAGGAATATGATGGCCATGTCCTAGCAGAGCCTGTGTCCAGGAGGATCACCTGCTTGGCAGAGGAAAGTAGCGAGTCATTGTGGCCGAACGGAGCTAGACGTAGCTGGGCTGCACTGAGCCAAGGACCTCAGGTGAGGGGCAGCGCTGGGTGACCTCCCCTTCCTGCCCCGATGACTCACACGTGCGGGTGGTGCTGGCACCAGAGCCCCACGCGCACCCCATCCCGCAGGCGGGCTGATCCGCACTTCGGAATGACAACCCCACATTCAATTCTTCAGTGCATGTGGCAGAACAGAGGCGACTTTGTTGTTAATAACAAAACACGTGTCAAATATTGTTGCTGGGGAGTGAATATCCCAAAACACCACATTTGTTTATATAGAACAGGAAACATTTAACTCTTTGTAATGTATGCTTACTACTTAAAATGTTACAATCAAAACAAAAACACCTAGAGTAGACACGTATTGCCATCTTCCTTTATATTTCAATTTTTAAAAATCTACCTCATAGGACAAATTCTGGATTCTCACATAAAAATTAAGTTGGCCAAGAGTAGATGTACCCAATTACTTCCTTCTCTGTGTTGATAATTTTATAAATCAAAATTCTAGATATTGGAGATATTTACAACAAGAAATCAGGAGTATGTCTAGTTTTTGTTGACTTGTATTTTAACAGGGAGACTTCTCAGACTCCAAGTGGATACATATCCATACAGTCAGCAGGGAAGTCCACCATGTGGTCCAAGTGTGTACTAATGTTAGCACACATTTACACAGAGTGTCTGGGGACGCTGTGCTTCAGTGATGGAAAGCCCTGAATCAAAGTGACCTCAGCCACATGGTGAGCACCTCGACAGAAGGAACAATGTCTCATTCATCTTTTCCTCGCCACTTTTAGCACAATGCCTGGCACACTATGGGCGCTCAACAGATGTAGGAAAGGGCTTGTCCAAATTCAGGGGAAAGCTTCATTCAGAGAGTTAAGAAATCAAAATAAAAATCTAAAGGGATTTAAAAAAAAAGCAAGTCAATTGTTTAAAATAACATTTCTTTACTTTTGAAGTTGCAACACTGTTTCTTTTAAAGTCAATAAAATATCTTAAAATAAACTGTTTTCTAAATCTGAAGTCAAACCCTTTCTGCCTATCCTCTGTCTCATCAGACAGGACTGATCTACCAAGCTGCAAATGATGTTAAATATGCACGTGATATAGAAAATATATACTTTTATATATACTAGCACATTTGCTTGCTATGTGTTAAACAGAAAATTTCGTAAGTAGGTCCTAATTTCTAATCTTTACTTTTGTAAATACTAAGTGTTATACATTCAGTAGCTGAAGACCACCAATTTTCCTTACAAGAGTCCTTTCTAAGGAAATAAAGCAGTGCCTAAAATAAATTCTAACTTGCAAGAATGATAGAAAACCAACGTTAAAATTTTCTCCTTAAAATAATGCACACCTTCAATGATTTTTAAAAACTCCTTGGAACACTTCGAAAAAACTCATAAAACAGTTGGAATTTTACCATCTACTACTATTTTTATGGGAGAATTTCATATGTTTACTATATCTCAAAACATGAAGTTGACAGATTCTTGTATTTTCACATATTGTTTAAAAACTAATTCATAGCCTACAGATATAGTTGGAAAAATCGAGAACGACTTTTATAAAACCGTACCAACCCACCCTGACTTAGGAGCAATCTCTAAGACTGGCGTGCCTCCAGGAGGCTACCACGGCAGCGTCCCACGCACCTTTGGCATCCTGGGCCTCGCGAAGCAGCTCCGTCACCTCTTTCTCTGCTTCCTTCAGGCGATCCTCAAAGGCTTGGTCTGTCACCACTTCACCCCCAGCCCCGAGGTTTGCTATGAGATTCTCTAATTCCTGAAGCTTCACCCGATGATCAGCAACCTAAACACAACGAAGGAAGAAAAGGAAAAGGTAAGACACACGGGAGCTCAATCGCCCTCCCTGCAGGAATGGTACTCAGAGGCGCTCTCTGAAATGCAGGACTAGACACTCCACACACGTCTCCTTGTACACAGACAGCAGGGGTAGGCTTTCTTTACTTCTCTGGCTTCAAAAGAAAAAAATGGCAAGCCCAGTCCATTGACTTCACTTTTACTTCTATTTTTCAATTTTGTCTTTCTGTTAGAGTTTACATTCAATATTATTTTGTGTCAGTTTCAGAGGCACAGCACAGTGGTGGGACAATCGTGAACTTTACAAAGTGGTTCCCCTGCTAATTTCCAGCACCCACCTGGCCCCATACATACTTATTACAATATTCACGACATTCTCTGGGCTCTACTTCATTTGACTTTAAACACTACGTGCGGAGGATTCGCCAGTTCTGACCTCGCGCTTACATTTTAGATCACTGCCCTGATATTCCCACCGGCTCTCTGACGGGCACCTCAACACGCGACTTTGGGAACGGGGACAGTGTCTACCTTGTCCACCATGATTTCTCCAGGGCGTGGGGCTCAGGGAGAGGCCATTCAAAGTCCGCACTGCAAATGAGTGAATGCGCGCACTGTTGACAGCTCACCTTATCCTTCACCAGCCGGTAACACGCCGGACATTCCTGGCAGCCAGGCCAAGACCGATTGTAGAAATAGTTCTCTTCACATTGGTCACAGCGGTTTCCCACGAAGCCCTCTCGGCATTCACAGCGACCATCGTCTTTGCACTGAAGTGAAAGAGAGCCCTCAGGATGACAGTCACAGGCTGCAGAATGAAGGGGAACGAGGACATAATAAGGAAAAGAAGGAAGAGTGCATCTTCTTTGAACTCAGACTGTCACTAAGCTCATTGCACCATCTTTATAAGCAGACTTAAAAAAAAAAAAAAACAGGCTGATGGATAAGAAATTTAATGCTTAAGTCTCGATAGCTGAGAATACAGGTATTTTTCCAGCAAAAGTAAATTTTAAAGTAAAATGTGATCCTTTGGAGGGGGGTGGATGTCATGTTTCTAATAATTATAGAAAGTAGTCTATTAAACGAGTCAGTGCCCTTCTCGTGCAGGTTGAAAATTCATCTCTCTGCTGTTTAGTATTATTTCTCTTACTAAGGAACTAGAAAACCCAAGTGCTGATGTTTATTTTGTATTATTTTATAGTTTGCTCATTCACTTTGTTCTCTGAACTGAATCAACGACTTATGCTATGTTCCACAGGAGAAATGAAGGAATTCAGAAAGCAAAACCCCAAGCTGTTGTGAGGCCTAATTCCAGGCAAGTGTTTGTGCCAAGGAGAAGCAGCTGTTTACATGTAACCGCACCAAAAGCGCCCCAAGGGTGGGAAGCAAGCGGCAACTGCGGCCAGCAAGTCAACGAGCATGTTCTGAGCGGAATCTCTCCCTGTTTCTCTATCTGTGCTAAGAATGTGGTCAATAAAAAGTTTTATTAAGCACAGTAGGAAAGCTAGGTAATCAAAGAGAGATCTTCCTTCGGAAAAATAAAAGATTGGCAGGAGGAAGAATCAGGAATGCTGTAAAAGAAGACATAAATAAGGAGGTTGCCAAGAAACCAGGGAAGCTCTCAATCCCTGGAGTTTTAGAAAAGGGTAATATCCATCTAACGAAGCGTCGCTATGATAGATCAGCCCTGGCCGGGAGCCGTGTGGCAGGCTGGGACTCTCCATGGCTCCACCCGGAGTTAGGAGGGCTTTAGGGCTCTCTGCCAGCAACACCCCTTACGTTTGCAGCCTTCCGGTCCGAACCCGAAGTGGTTGACCTCGCAGCGCTCGCAGTGCTGACCGGCGATGCCAGGCTGGCACTCGCACTGGCCGGTGCGGATGTCGCACTGGCCATTGGTGGAGCCCAAAGCGTGGCAGTCACACCTGAAAGGAACACGTGACAAGTAAGGAAAACAGAATGTAAGCAAACTTTTTTCCCCCTTTCATCATAGGACTGATGTAATTTGTAACATAAAACAACATTAAGGGCCCCTGGGCCCCTGAGGGTGAAGTAATTTTTCAGTTCTATTCGCAACCTCTTTTTCTAACCTTGCACAGAAACACTATTATTCCACGGCTAGACCCACTGCCTCGGTCTCCGACGTGGCACCACAGAGGCACTGACCAGGGACTTTGAAGACCAGAGCCGCCCACCTGCCACTCGGGAAGGTCTGACTCTAAGCATCTCCAAAAAGACCTTGTAGTCCATGCGTGAAAAACAAACAATGTTGTCAGGTGACTCTAACACAGCCAGGGCCACTGGGCTCCACTCTTTCTCCCATTAGCTTAGTTACAAGTCTCTGGTACTGCCTCCACCGGTGTCTCGCCTCTATTAGGCGCCACGTAATTCCTGAACAAAGTCAAGCCCATGATAACTCATAAATGTGCATCTCTTACATAAAAAAAGCAACGGTTACTTCTACTAAAGGCACCCGACAGCTCACCTCTCACAGCCTTTCCCGCTGTGCAGGTTGTAGAACCCGGGGTCGCAAGCGCCACAGTCGCGGCCGTTGACGTGAGGCAGACATTCGCACTGCCCAGTGACAGGGCTGCAGGTGCCCTGCTGGCGCAGGGTCCCGTAGGGGTTGCAGTTGCAGGCTAAGGGGGGCAGACAGAGACAGCGAAAGGGGCTCATCACCCGAGAGAAATACTAAAATACAAGCAACTCAAACAGACTCTTCAGGCCTGTGCTGTCCAATACGGTAAGTAGCCACTGGTCTCCTGTCGCTATTGAGCACTCGAAATGTAGCTGCTCTGAGCTGAGATGTGCGGAAGAGGTGAGAAGCACACCAGACTCTGAAGACCTGGTGTGTGTGGGGGGGGGGGGGGGGGGGGGACATACATCTCAATAATGAATAACTGGGTACTTGTTGAAATGACAATAGGTTAGCTCTAGTAGGTTAAATAAAATGTATTAGTAAAACTAATTTCACCTGTTTCCCTTCATTTTCATGTCTCTACTAGAAAAATTTAGATGACATTAGTGCTTCGCCTCTTTTTCATTGAGCAGTGAGTGCTGCTTTAGACCAAACAACTGTAAATATTTAAAGAGACCATACAATGACGTTCTCAGAGTGAGTATAATGGTGACAGTCTGGCTGGTGGCTGATCACCTTTGCATTTGTCTCCTGGGTTGGAATTCAGCGGATTTCCAAAAAATCCGTCCTTGCACCGGTCACAGTAGAAGCCGGCGGTGTTGTAGATGCACTTCAGGCACTCTCCCGTCAGGCGGTTACAATTCCCAACTGCGTTGGGATCGATGTTGTCGTTGCACTGGCACAGGCGGCAGAGCCGCACAGGGCCATGTCTCCCCAGGGGGTCTCCAAAGTAGCCGTCGTCACAGAGCTCGCACCTTTTACCTGGGCACGAGACAATCCGATGTTACAAAAGGAAGGCCTTAGATACTTCTGGTGCCGCTGGCTACAGAGTCTGCTCACAGCTGACCACTGGTCAGACAGTTGAGAGCAACCGTCAGTTGGGAGGTGACGTGGTGCAGTGGACGGGCACCAGCCTAGGAGGGCAGAGGACCTGGGCTGCGGTCCTGGCCCTGGGCCAACCAGCAGGGTGCCCTTAGGCACATCTCTATTCCCTCATTGGAAAGCAGCACCTGATTTGCCTGCTTCACATCAATTGTTCTGAGGATTCCCTGAAATCACACACTGAAAGGGCTTTGTGAGGCAGGCCCACGGTTCCTAACCTCTCCAGTTCCAAGGGACGGCACATTCATATATATTTGTTTTTGTTGATATTAAGAAAGATGAAAAGTGACTCTTGATACCATGACCCTCCTATACTGTACGGTGAGGAGGATCATTCTATTAAAAAGATAAAGGGCTAATTCTACATGAGCAGTGTCAACTAGCGCAGACTCTGACCATTTGAGAGGGCCGTCTGCCACTCACTTCTATCATAGCTCAGGGAGCAGAGAGAGAGGTTAAGTAACTTGCCCACAACCAAACGGCCGAAAGACAGTAAGGGACACACGAGCCAAAACTTAGGGCTCTGTCCACTGTGCTAAACCCATTACTCGGCGAGGCAGGGAGACAGGACAGTGGTCCGGGCCAGGATGGTGGCAGCAGAAGGAATGACAAGGGGTCAGATTTGAGGTAGAGCCGGTCACCGTTGCTGGCTGACTACTTCTGGGAAATGAAAGAGAAAAGAATCAAGGCGATGCCAAGGTTCAGACTGAGCAACTAGGTAGACGGTAGTATTCTTACCGAGATGAACGAGACTGGGGATGGAAGAGGGCTGAGGAAAAAGAGGAAACCAAAGATTTAGCTTGGATTTGCTTAAATTTGAGATTCCTTTACCACCTGAATCAAGATCATGGCAGAAGAGAATCGGCACATTTAAGTTAGCAAGACTTGAAGAGCATTTAGTAGAGATACTATCTACAGAAGTGTGGGCAGAGTGTAGGCGACCACAGGTGGGAGTAGCATCTGGGATGGTAACCTGGGGGGTGGGAGTGGGCGGTCAGCAGGCTCCAAGTAACTGAGACATAGCGGGTGGGTGGAGGGAGCAGTTAACAGAACCTAACAGTTTCTACCTTGACTAGAAAGAACTGTTTGGAGAAGGTCGCCTGCCAGGAGGAGCTGAGAACCTGGGTTAAGGTCACCAAACCATGAGGATCCTACAGAGAGGGAGGCTTGGAATGAATACTCTGCCCAGGGAGGCTGCCGTCTGTTGTGGTGCGTGCAGGTTTTGTTGGGTGGAGGCAGATGAAGGCTGGATGAGGAGGGGCATGCGGACGGCTTCTGGCCCACCACCCGACTGGCGATGGTGCTCGAGAGAGGGAGGTCAGGGCTGGAGAGAGAGATTTGGCAGCTGTAGCACAGACAGGATTTGAGCCCTAAAGACGGGCTCACCTGCAGGCAGAATATCAAGTTCACGTGAGAGCCCTAGGTTGAGAATCAGAAGTGACTGAAGGAGACCCAAGAGAAGAGAGGTAGAAGGAAACCTGTGAGACTGTTTTTAAAAAAGGCAGGAAAGAGTCAGAAATATAAAATTCGACACCAATGTCCTTTCCTTATTTTCTCAACTATCTTAAGCAAATGATCGAATCTCTTTGTTGCAATGCCCTTGTGCTCGGGAGGGGTCAGTGGAAGGGTGATGGCGTGTTTGGATGTTGCCCAATGAATAAAGAATGTTTTGATGAAACACAAGAGATACAGATTCCTAGCTCAGTGTTTTTGTTTTGTTTTGGTTTTTTTTCACTTATTTTTATGCTCTGTGGCAACATCTCTGGAACAAAAGTTTGGTGATGGAGTCAAAGGCTGTATCAGAAGCCCGGCCAGAACCTCCCCACTAATGGAGGCTGAAGTTGAGGAAAAACGCAGACAGTCACCAGTGAGCCGCAGCTCCTTGCTCAGCCGGCCCAGGCGGGCAGCTCCTTGAAGAGCCAGGAAAGATCTCGTCTATGTTCTTATCAAAAAGAAAGAAACTCAGAGAAGGGAAACACTGGCCCCTCCAAAGCTACAGAAAAACGAGCACATTTTCCCAACTACATGGGATGGGCTCTGATACTCTGAAAGAACTATTTAGAGAAAGAATGTAAACAGATTTTTAAATGACCACTCTACATCAAGAAGCCCAGGGTAACAGCCCCACAGACCAAAAGCCAAGCTTTGGCTCTTGTCTCATGAACAGGAGTGTGTCGTAGTGGTTGTCATCTTTGGGGCCAGGATGCCTGGGTTGAAATTCTAGCTCCTCCCATGATGAGCCTTCAGGTCTCTGTGCCTGTTTTCTTAGCTGGAAGCGGGGGATGAGAGCAGAACCCACCTCACAGGGCTGTGGGGATTCATGGAGCAGGCAAGTACCAGGCCATAACTATGTTCGCATTAAAAGTGCCTGATATGCATTTTATAAATCTGTAATAAACCTGTTTTTTCTATAACACCTGGCCTACTAGGAAGAGTGCAACCATTAAGCCAAACAAATGAACAAATAAACAAAATTGTGGACACCCCCAAAGCTTGTCTTCCCCAGGTGTCTTTAAAGGACAGGGCCCTGCAAGCCGACGGGCAGGGCGGACTCACCGGTGGTGCCCGTAGGGCAGTTGGTGCACACCACCTCCTGTGTCTTCGGGACCACCGCGCAGCTGGAGCCCCCAGGGCACGGGCAGGGCTGGCAATCAGAGGAGGTGCCTGCGGTCGAGTCCCCGTAGTATCCGTCACTGCACTTCTCACAGTGGGGGCCGGCTGTGTTATCTCTGCAGTGACAGACCCCTGTTTGGAGAGCAGAGGGGAGACCCCAGGCCGGTAAGACAATGAGCGTTTCCTCCCCACCTGCCAAAGAGAACTCAGGCCTAACAGCCCCCAAAGGGCATCTGCTTACCTGTCTCAGGGTCGCAGGTCTCACTGTGTCCATTGCAGGTACAGAGCACACATGGACTGTACGGCCCGAGGCTCGGAGTTTCTCTTCTGTACCCCGAGAGGCACGACTCACAAAACTGCCCTCCATATCCCACAGGACAGGTGCAGGTCTCTACCCAAGTTGCAGGGACCCCAGGCCCAGGACGAGCGCTTGCCAGGGTGACATCATCCAAGTACCCAGCGCCTGCGTGTCGTGTGGGAAAGAGAATCCCTGAGCTGGCTTCTGTTGTCCAAAAGCTCACGAAAAGTCAACAGCATTAAAGAGTAACCACACCCAAAATTCCAGAGACAATCAACTATTAACTAATTCATTTCTTGGAAAAGACAAGTAGAAAATAGCATTTACGACAATCATGTGGTAGCTGGTGCTTTGTCTGGAGTAACAGTTACAGCAAACTTAGGTTTTGAAACACACACACACCCGAGATTGGTGGATTTTACAGTTTTCCCAGTCATCAACAATGACAAGCATCCATTGGACCATCATCTGGGGCAAGGTGAGACAAGAGCGGGAACACGGAGGACAAAAACAGGCACCGATTGTAGAGGTCGAGGATGACAAGGCAGGCAAAGCACCTGTCAACAAGTACCACTCAACTATATTTTTTACCCTGCATAAAACAGCAAAATAAAGCAAACAAATTCTAATACTTAGGGCTACTTTAATGAGTCTGCAATTGTTCCGAAGCTACCGTAATTGCCACATATCACAATGCTTTCCCATCTCCAGAAGAAAATAAAAATAGAAGAAGCCTTATGTTGGCTTAGACCAATGGTTCATCCAACTCCACAGCAGGACCCTCCCGCGGAAGAGGCAGGTCTTGATTAGGTCATCACATTTCCCTTTAATTTCCGTCCCACTCCTGTCTCTGGCAGCCTATTTTCAAGTATATTTCCCCATGTTATCATATATCATTTGCTCCTTATATAATTCTTAGAACTTGCTAACCTGAGGCTGAGGGGCACCTCTCCTATTACTGCCTTGAACTTAGTTAACTTTTAATATGTTCATGGCTTTTTCCAACAATTAGATCATGAGATTCATTTCCATTGGCTAATGTTCTCCCAGCTCTAAACATTCTTAAGCCTCCCCATCCTAAAAGTATTCCTGCTTTCATCTTGTCCCTACTCCCGAATAATAACCTATTTTTTTTTCTTCTCTTGTAGCCAAACCTCCTCAAAGAATAACCGTTATTTCTTGACCTTAAAATTATTACGGCACTGTAATCTAACTTCAGTTGCAACACTTCTTAAAAAACAACAACAACAAAGAAACACCTCACCAGTGGTTCCTCAGTCGCCCAATGTAGAAACCAATGGGGTTATCTCCTTAAACTTGTTAATTGTTTCTCCTCCTTAAAATTCTTTTTCTCTCTTGAGGCTCAGGGCATGGTCCTTAAATAACTATGTTTCCAGAATTGCATGTTCTTTTCTTTCTTCCAAGTTTCCAGGCTTAAAAATTACTGCCCATATGTTGACAATCTTTTAATTCTAGACCTCCAGTCCTAACTTCTTTCTCAGCCCCAGATCCGTATTTCCAGCTACTATACTTATATGACATTTTCATCTGGGTAGTCATGCAGGCATCTCAAAAACCAACATATCCAAGGACTTGAGAGCATTATGCTAAGTGAAATAGGTCAGACAGAGCAAGCAAAAGCTGTATGATCTCACTCACACATGGAATCTTTAAAAAGAAAAGAAGGAAAACCAAAACCACTTAACTCATAGCTACAGAGAACAAAGACTGGTGGTTTACAAACTTCCAGTTATAAAATAAATCAATCATGGGGATGTAATGCACAGTATGGCAACCATGGTTATTATTGCATATTTGAAAGATGCTAAGAGAGTAAATGTTAAAAGTTCTCATCACATGGGGAAAAAAATCTGTAACCATGTATGGTGATAGACATTAATTATACTTATTGTGGCAATTCTTTCACAATATATACAAATATCAAATCATTATGTTGTACACCAGAAACTCATATAATGTTGCTTGTCAATCACACCTCAATTAAAAAAGAAATCAACACATCCCAGCTGCTGATGTCACTCCCAATGCCACGTCACCACTCTGCCTCCATGTGCCCCGTCCTGCCTTTCCACAGAGAGGTCTTCAGCCAAATTAAAAAACTTATAGGGCCCTGGCTGGTGTGGCTCGGTGGATTGAGTGAGGGCCTACAAACCAAAGGATCACTGGTTCGATTCCCAGTCAGGGCACATGCCTGTGAAGTGGGCCAGGTCCCCAGTTGGGCGTGGCCAAGAGGCAACCGATCAATGTATCTCTCACACATTGATGTTTCTGTCCCTCTCTTTCTCCTTCCCTTACTCTCGCTCTAAAAAATAAATAAAATCTTAAAAAAATTTTTTTAAAAACTTAGGAAAAGAATTTGAAAGGCACCCTTAAAACAGCTTTGTTTATCTAAAATTATAACCAATGTTCATTCAGTAATTTATAATTTTTCATAATTTAGCCAATGGTTAAGAGGCTTGATAATTACATAGAAGTAAATACAAAGAAAGAAAGGTTAAGACATGTGAGCCAGTAAAACTATATTCAGAAATTTTAGAATAATCTATTTATATATAATGCAATCACAATACGATTATTCATTTTAAAACATGACTATTTCTTAATTTTAACAAATTTCCCCCAGGTTCTTAAAAGTAGTTTAAAGACACCTTATTTTTATACATAATTTTTGTACAATGAGGTTGTTTGCACCACTTCTCTAGGATCAGTGTTATAATATTAGTACTTTAGAGATACCCTTTTGCATATTATGAATCCTTCTTCCCAATCATCTTGTTAAACAGCTCTCCTAAATTATATCATAACTTACTTCTCTCACTATATGTCCCACGAATCTTGATAGAAGTCAAGTTGTTCAGGAGCTTCTGAAATTCGAAAGGAGTAAGAGTAGGCCTCCAAGGGTAATCTGTTGCTTCATGGAGCCTGGAAAGAAGGAAGGGGCCATGTTAACCTCTGTAAGGACAAATCTGGGGTCCGAGAAAGCATTTCTTCTTCATTCAGGCCACCAAGGGTGCAATGCTCCAACAATCTAACCAAGTCAGACACCAGTCTGCTGGTGTGACAGACCAGTTGGCAAGGGTAGAGGAAAACAAAGGGAAGGCCCCCTTTTCTGAAGATCCCCTCATAACCCTGAAGTTTTTCTTCAGGATTCACCTTGAGGCCTGATAAGCTCAGATGAAGAAACCACTTCTATGATACTGGTCAAGTCAGATTTTCACAACGAAGAGGATCTTACCTGAAGACGTATTTCACAGTGGTCTCACTTGGATAGGAGTTGCCCTGCGCGATCAAGGGCACAGACACTCTCAGGCCAGCTCCCTCCAGCACCAGGTCTTCTGCAGAGAGGCGAGTGTCTCGCCGGTCCACTCGAAAGGAGAAGGAGAGGTTCTGACCGTAACTGAACACCTGCTTGCCCAAGAACTTGGCTGGAACACAGATACATGGAGCAGTAATGTGAGAACGAGACCACAGAGGAGCACACCTCAGCCAGCCTGCTTGCCAGCCTCACTTACCAGGAGCAATGAAGTACCTAGGAAAGTAGCTGTCTGAGATGACGGCAATGTCTTGCCTTTCAGAGGACCAGTCCAGTGTCGCTTCAGAGCCGTCCCTTTGTTCTGCCCGCCACCCGTCCTCATCTGCAAGCAGAGGACGAAAATACAAGCACTGTTATGTTGTAAACACCCTGAATTCACCTCCTGTGTGGATTACAGAAATATACAAAGAAAGATGTCAATGAAAGCTCTGGAATAAATAAATCCTACAATAGTACCTACACATGCTATATCTCTCAATTTATGTTTTGCTGTATTTTAGGTAACATTTAACTATGGTAAGTTCGAAAACCATGTGTATATTTTCATAAAATATAGCATAGGGAATACAGTCAATAATAATGTAGTAACTATGTACGGTGACAGAGGGGTACTAGATTTATTGAGGTCTAATTACTGTTCTGTATACCTGAAACTAATACAATATTGTCTGCCAACTGTAATTGAAAAATTTAAAAGTTTAACCACAAAAGGAAATTATATAGGATGATAAAAAACAAACCAAAAAAAACCCGAAGAAATAAAAAAGCCACATAAGAAAAATCATGTTCATTAAAAAACATGAAGTGTTGCCATCCTCAGAAAATCCTCAAAGAGTTACTGATTTCTTTTTAAATGCTGTAAGTCTAGTCACACCCTTCTAGGGGACAGAAGGTCTAAATTACCAATCTGAAAGGCAGAGGTTATAGAGTAGACACTGTAGCCGACGGCGTTGGTACAGACAGAAGAATGCCCAAAGCAAAAGCAGGGTGTGCACCCCCTGGGATTCGATGATTCCAGATTAAAAAATCCCGGTTTGCATCTGAAAAAGATTAAGACACAATCAGGCATTATTTTGTTGGTACTTGAAATATGGTAACAGAGAAAACACAATACAGTGTGAGAAAGAACGAGCTACCTCTCACAGTTGAAGCCTTCAACGTTGTCTTTGCACACACACCTTCCTGTTTCAATATTACACTCATCCGTGCTGCCGGAAGGGTTACACGCACACGGCCTGTTGGATGGAGAATGCACGAAACGATGAGAAAAGAGGCAGGAGGAAAGGAACGACGCTCTTCAAGCCAACCTTCAGTTTTCCATGTTAAATTTTTTTTTTTTTGAAAAAGGAGAAACATAGTAGAGCAAAATGAGTATTAATGTCATTTTTGGATTTAGATTTGGTTTCAATCAAGGATACCCATCACATTCAGATATTAAAAACTCTGCTTCCTCTCTGTACAAACAACCCTGGGTCATCATTACAGCTGGAAGTCTTGAGTCTTGCTGACAATTATTTTGGGAAGAAACGTGTGTGTGGCTGCAGATCAGCCACAGGCCTATTATCATGAATCAGCTGCATTTAGATTCTGCCGCCTTCATTCGGTTTTGAAAGAGTCTCACCTGCATCCTGCCTCGGTGAGAGAATGGAATCCAGGCCGGCAACGGTCGCACTTGTCGCCCATCACCCCTGGCTTACAGCTGCACCGGCCGTAGCTATCGCACTGTGTGCTGAGGGAGCCTGCAATTTCAAAGGCACGTCAGCCATCAGATAGGAAAGCAATGTTAATATGTCAAAGAAAATTGTAGGTTCTATAGACACTGCAGACAATGCCTGAAAACCAACATGCAACCTCTAGATGGTTACCAAGAAAAAAAGATCAAATTTTAAATCAGAACTCTCTCAAAATCAGACCCTTCTAAGCCCATTTTAACTTTCCAGACACAAAGCCTCCTGACGAATGCTGAAAACACTAACAAGTCACTCTGTACCCAGTGATAAACTAGACATACAAGGCCTGTCGCTTCTCTGTGAGAAGACATGGGTTCCTCGAGGGGCGTGTCTAGAATTTATTTTGGCATGAACAACAAACATACAGGTCAAGCTCTGGAAAGAATAGAATGGACTAAGAGCACATCACATCTATGAGTTTACAGTAACATAAAAAAGTTTAGCTCTCTAAGGATTTTAGACTAAACAAAATCATTAACAAGGGAGAACTCAAAAGCAGCTAACATTTTACAGTCAAGTTCAAATAGTTCTCTAGGATCTTGCTGCTAATTACTTACAAAACCATTACTCAGGGTGACCCCAGTTTTATACACACCAGAAAAATCGTCTGAAAGTCTAACAACATGGTTAAAGAGAGCGGATGTGGGGGTAGAGGCAGATCCTGAATCTTTCCCGTATTACAGTAATGTCCACATTTCCATACTGAACCTGTGCGAATGCCTAGGAAACAGCTTTATTATCTGGAGATACGGGGAATTTTTTTTCCTTTTCTGTCTTTCAACCCATCAGACTGAAGCAGACAGTGCCTGTCACTTACCAACCGGACTACAGTGGCACGGAGAGCAGGCTTCCGTGTTCCCGAGGCGGAAGAAATTCTCCCGGCACCTCTCGCAGTTGGGGCCGTCGGTGTTATCCCGGCAGCTGGTACAGTGGCCACCGTGGCCGGTGGAACGGTACAGTTCAGGGTCAAAGTAGCATTCCTGCGATCGGCCATTGCAGTTACAGGCTGTCAGCCAAACACACGAGTTAGGCGAGATCCATGTGCCTTTGTAAATAATGTTTTTACAAGACTCAAAAACAAAACAAAGCAAAACAAAACCCAAACCATAATTTCCCACATCTCTGTGACAGGTGATGTTAGAATAAGAATGACCACCAGAGCCCTGACCGGTGTAGCACAGTTGGCTGGGCATCATCCCACAAAGCAAAAGGTTGCTGGTTTGATTCCCAGTCAGGGAGCACATGTTTAAGGTTGTGGGTTCAGTCCCCTGTCAGGGCGTTTATGAGAAGCAACTGATGGATACTTGACATCCTCTCCTTCTCCCTCCTTTCCCCTCTATTAAAAAAAAAAAATAGATGCATTGTTCAAGAAAGAAAGAAAGAAAAAGGGAGGAAGGGCAGAGAAGAGAGGAGAGAAGGGGAGGGGAAGGGAGGGGAGGGGAGGGGAGGGGAGGGGAGGGGAGGGGAGGGGAGGGGAGGGGAGGGGAGGGGAGGGGAGAGAAACAGTATGTCCATAAAGGGTTTATATAGCCAGGTTATCAGCTTTCTAGGAAATGTTCATCCTTGTCAAAATGTTCATATACAAGTAAAAGCCAAGTCAAATTACAGTTTTTCTGAATCTTTACCCTTCATCCTAATCCCAGCTTCAAGAACAAGGTGCCAATGCACAGGCAGGTTTCAATTTACCTTAACCTCTCAGGCCTCAAATGATTCAAATACATTAAGACACTGACTTTCAAAGTGGAAGATGACTTGCACTTCCAGACTGGGCTAACCACACATGGGTTAGAATTAGTGCCTGTGCAGATGTGAGCAGAATTAAAGGGGAACCTGGATCCAGCAGGTCCGTCCATGCACTGGGGAGCCACAGTGCCAACTGGGCCGCCTGTTAAGTAACTAATGGTACCCCCTACAGGGCGCAACCATATTTTAAGACGAAGTATCTGTAGTCACAGGAATTCTTTATTATAGTCATATTCAGATGATTTTCTCAGAATTTTTGATTCTGCCCAAAGTAAAGGTGATATCTTGAGCACTAGACAAAAATAAAGCTTTACTTGATTTCAGATAGATCAGGAAGTTGTTGTTGTAAAATATTTGAACATACATATTTTCTTTTTCTTCTATCATTTACAATCAGTTCTTTTATGGTATAATCCTTAAAATTTTGTATAAACTCAAATCACTGCCACCAAACTTAAAGCTGTGTTAAGTAACTTTTATAGGTCCCTTTCCCTTCTTCAGTCACTGCTTCTTTTCCCTCAATCCTCCCTAGACTTTCCTGCCATCAACCCAGCCACTCCCCCTAAAGAGCCTGGTGCTTGAGACCGTGAGCCAGAGAACTCCCGGGCTCCGCTGCTCTAACCCACAGCTCCAGCAGGGGCTGCGGCTCCCTCACCAGCCGCTGGCAAGAGGGAAGGCAGCTGTCCTTTTCTCTTCCGTAGCTCAAGAACCTGGCCAATGCTGGGGTCCCTCACAGCCTCCAGAAACTTTATCCTTTGAGCGGTCACAGTGCTGAAGGGACCGAGGAGGAAAGCAAATCGACTTCGCTCCTCATCAAAGTCCTTTAGCTGCCATGTTCAGCTCATTTGCTAGTGGTAAGCTGGTGATTGAGTACATTTGTTGTTCTTAGAATGTTCCTGGACAGTCTCTAAATATGACCACATCGTTAAACAGAATACTTTCCAAACACATGTGGACATTTATTTAGATGGCACATCTTAGGACTATTTCGTTCTTTCCTTTGCCAGCCTTTGCCATGTAGCTTCCAACACTGGATATTACAGTTCAGTAACAGAATTAAAGCAGCCCGAGCAACTGCTTAGGAATGCTGGAGGAGGCTACAAAATTAATCTGCAAATCTGGGATTAGTTAAAGGAAAGAAAAGATGAATAAGAAAATCTGCTCCAGGCAGCTAATGGAAATAATCATAAGTTAAGATATCAATTCTTTCTCAAGGTTTCTGCCAACAATTCCTGCAAGTTCAGATGTCATCTTTCTAATTCCCTTTATTCCCACGAGAATATGATAAGGAATATTTGTGAGGACATAAGAAAATTACAGCTGCTTTACAATTTCTTATGACCTTGGCAAGTCATAATCACATGTTTTCATAGTTTCTTTCCCCTGAGATTCCTTTCTCTATCTGTTCAGAATAAACGAAGACACTGAAGGAATAAACAATGTGTTGTCTTTTCCAGTTCAACCTTTCCTAGGAATACTAGTATCTACTTTTCATCCAAAGCTACCCGCCTCTGCATGACAGGAGTAAGAAAATTCTCCCCATTGTGCTCTTCAATGAGATCCAGGAAACATAACTTTGATAAATAAGCTTTTGCATGGTAGTCGCGGTCTAGAACTCATTGTAACTGACACATGGTAAGCAACGACCTTCGCTCTGGGGTCATTGAGCATTATGATAGGAAGAAGAATATTTTAAAGGGCAACAAAGAAAAAAACTAGCAAAACTATTATGTTAGAGCAGGCTACAATGGCCCAGCATTTGGATCTCAGCAAAGTGCCAGACCTTGCAGATTAGCGCCCATCCTGGTGTGTGTGTTCAGGAAGGAAACACGCCACCAGCAGTTTGTTTATGCCAACTGCCCTCATCTATGATGTGCCTCTGACGTGCGTGTGGTTGGTTGTCCTACGCTCTCAAATTATGGAAGAAGCACTGCCTGTCAGAGTTTTCCTTTCACGGAGGCAAAGATGGAAGTCACCCATTCCTTCTTCCACCTCTGGGAGTTGTCAAGGTCACTGAACGGACCGACGCCGCGGGGCACTCACGCAGGCATTCGCTGGCACTCTCGGCTGTCGCCCTCCTCCACGGCCGGTCGTTGAAGAAAGGAAGACACTTTTCACAGTCGACTCCATAAGTGTTATGTTTGCAACTGCACACCAGCTTGTCAAATTCATTCTTCACACACTCGCTGGCATGTCCATTACATTTACACCTGGGGAGAGAAGAGACCCTCAAAAAATTGGAAACAGCTCCAAAGTCCCAGAAATGGATGCAGGAGAAAGATGCACACAGGGAACTAAAAACCACCTCAGTGTGTGCTTGAGATTCAAAACGGTACACTGAGGAAGTGAGCGGGATCAAGTACGGGCTGCTTGAGGTCTCAGGTGTGTGGAGAAATTAAACAGGGAAACAAAAAAGGTAGCTCTATCTAACAAGGGACAGGATGTTAACCAGAGCAGAGCAGAGAGTCTCTAACAGTATCTGAGGACATCTGCAGGATCGCCTCCTGAAGTCAAACGTGTGTGTCAGCCAAGAGGCAACCAAGTGCACTGGGCGAGAAGAACCTAGATGCAGAAGCCAGGTGGCCTGGGCTTTGAGCCCCACCCTGCGACTTGCCTGTAAAATACGGATGATGATGATAATGTTTATTTCGTAGGGTTACTGGGAGGAACAAGCATTTGCTTTATTTATGTGCCCAGGGTTGTGTGGGCACATACCAGGTAAATAATTATGTCAGCAATTATCTGCCATAATGATTTGCAAGTAGACTGATCTGACAGAAGCAAGAGACATTAGATCCCTCACCACCAGACGGGCCTCTGGTAGCCTGGTACTCCCACACGTTGTTTGGGGTAAGGATCCTTGAAAGATCCCCTAGAGGCAGGTGAAACCATAAACGAAGGACCCGTGGAAATCCCCCTGAGTAAGCGGCGTGCGCTCCGGCGCGCTCGCGTTTCCCTCACTGGTTTCCTTGAGGACAGCAAGCAGTGCCACAGCTCCACTACCACTTAAAAATACAGCCAAACACTTCTGAAACGTCTACGGCGCAGCCAGGGTGAGTCACAAATTTATAGCTCCAGCTCTCGTGTTTCTTCCAAACTCCTTGACTGCTGCACAGATTTAGAAGTTTACATCTAAATTTTACATGTTTACCACCAAACTCATGATCTCCCCAAATCGGCTCATCTTCCACATCTACTTTGGTAATGGGACCACCATTCTCCTGGTCACTAAGCCTTATGGTCACCTTTGACTAAATCCTGGTAATTCCTCCTTCACAATAAAATGCATCTAAAAGTTCCTTTTCATTCCACTGTGACATCCCTCATGTCAGGTGTTTGTTGCCTATCAACTCCTTGGCTCACACAGCATCAGAACAAGAACAGAAATTCTCTCACACATACTCTCCTCATACATACATGCCCACAACTCGCCTTCGTGATCCACTGTTTTGATATCACAGGCCACCTGCAAAAAAAACTACGTCACTCCTCAAGGTGACAGTTTCCGTCAACTGTCACTGAGCCTCGGTCCACGCCAGAAACACTGCATACACACATAATGTTTCTGCTCTTCAGACCTCATAGTTTAGTACAGGGATGTAAGTCCAAGATTCGTTCCTGCTGTGTCAGGTCTCTGGCTACTGAACCCTCTCTCTGGTTCACAGCTCTACAAATTCATGTAAGAGCTTTTCCATAAGTCAAGCAGGTTTATACTCTTCCAACTCTCAGCTTTCGTTCATGACCTGCCATCCTCCTGGACCCCACCCAGGCATCCTCCTCACTCAGCCAAATCCCCCCTGTTCTTCCAGACCCAGCTTAGGGCCCGCCTGCTTCTCTGGCCTGACAGTTCTGTGGCATTCTCAGGCACGTGGCATCTTTTTGTCTAAAACACGGGACTACACTAGTATTTAATTTTTCACATGTTCATACATGGCCTGCCCCATTCATTTGTAGGATCCTAGAAGGTCAGGTTCTTGTTAGTAGGCGCACGTCCGTCTTACACGTCCTCAGTAGCTTCGTAGTGCCTATGAGAGAGCTTTGCACTTAAATTCTCAGTAAGAATTCACTAAGTGTGTTGACTTGAGAAAGGTTTTAGAAAACCTAAATATGTACTTTATTTCCACAATAATGAGGTCTAACAACATTATTACTATAATTGTAAACAGTTGCTACATTCACTTCGAAACCAAAGGCCCAATTGCTTTCAAAGTTTTTAATAGTTTACTTACCTACCACCTACAGCAAAATCAGAGATTGCATAGTAATAGGACTTGAGGACTTTGGGGTCATTGAACACTTCATCTCCAAAAGTGTTCAGGCGATTGAGAGTTACTCTGATGTCCGTGGCTGTTACCCATTCCTGGGAGGAAAAAAAAAAACAAAAGCAGAAAAAAATAGGTGATGGGACTGAAGATAAGAGACATGAATGTGACGAAATTTTCTAAACAGTTAATGGAGCATGTAACTCGTGTCCTTTTCTAACATTAAATCTATTGTAATACTCAATGGTTCCTTTAATTTCTTAACTTTTTTTTTCTTTCTTGACTCTTCCTTTTTTTGATCTCTGTCATTACTTTACCACTCAGAGTCCCCAAAAGTAGGAATAATACCCGTCTCTTCACAGGCTATTGAAAGGCTTAAATGAAATATATTTCTAAATGCCTGACATACATCAGGTACTTCATACGCAGGCGCCTTCTCCCCAGCCTGTAGGCACACCCCAAACCAGTCAGCGTTGTGAGCACAGAGCTCCTGTGATGTCAACCTCATATAAGACATGCTGGTCATTGTCTCCTCCTGTCCATTTGGTACCATCTCTGTCTCCCTCTAATACGCAACCCACTACGACAGAGCTGGGAGAGAGATCCAGGTATAAGCAGTTAACCACCACAGTGGCCTGAGCCAGTCGGAGTCAGCTTTGTCTTGATCCTCTCCACAATTTCACATCTCTGGGAGGCCTTTCCTGGCCACCCTACCTAAAATTGCAACACCCCCAAACTCCCTATTTCCCTTCCCTATTTTATTCATAGTGTCTGCTTCCGCCACCATCACCAGCAAATTGTAAGCCCCACGCAAGGAGGAATTTTTTGTTTTGTTCACTGTAGTGTTTCTAGCATAGGAGGTGCTCAAATAACATTTGCTGAGCAAATGAACAAACTTGAAGAAACCACGACTGACCGGCTTGGTAGGGGCACCACAGTGGCCAAGGGTAAGAATGCAGGTTGCAGTTTCCCCCTGGCTCTCATGAGATCAGAGCCCTTATGACAAATGCCCACTCACTGAGCCAACGCCAGTCGGATGTTTACATCTGCGGTGGGCTGTTACAATAACAACGCCAACAAATCGTGACTGCCCGTGTCCACGCCCTGCATCGCCCCGTTGTTCCACACTGATTCTGAGCTTGGGCGTGTGACCTGCTTTAGCTGAGGGGACATCAGCCAGTGTGACACAAGCAGAGGCGCGGTGAGCACTTGTGCACTGGGACCTGCCCTCTGGGAATAATTCCACCACCACGTGAAGAAGCCTCGTCTGGCCTCCTTGAGCGTGTGAGACCACAGGGACTGAGAGACCCCGCTCCAAGCTCACCTGCCAGCAAGCGAGCCCAGGGCTACGCAGAATGAATGGGAAGTAGTAACGTGTGGCTGTTTAAAACCATTAAGTCTAGAGTGGTGTATTACATATAACCGCCCGAAGATACCATTTCCACTTCAAGCTCTCTCCTGGGAATGCATCTCAGAGTCACCTCCGGAGACATAACAAACTAGTACGGCACTGTGGGCGTCTGCGCTTCGCGAAGGCTCCGCGTGCAATGGGGAGGCGCGCCCCTGATTAGGAGCCACCGCGTACACCATGCCGAGCACCTGGCAGATAGAACAACACAGGGGGCACAGGAAAGCTCGCCTCCACGAAGCCTCCAAGTATAATTAGAAAGGAAAAGAGATGATGATTTCACTGCACCCAAACTTGGAACTCCAACAACAACTCCCACTCATGGCCACAATGCTAGGAATCTTTGAGTCGTCTGTAATGTGAGTAGCTAAACATATCTCTGTGTTTCATGCTTACTGTATCTTCTACAGCCTTCACCTTCAGCACAGCGCTCCTGAATAAAGGCTTCTCGGGGGCTGAAACCAAGCCCCTTTTTTCCTTTCATAATGCGACCCTTCCAAAGAGCAGACTCTGGAGTAAGACTTTCTAGGTTTTGAATCCCAGTTCGGCCTCTTAAAGCTGTTTGATTTGGGGCAAGTTATTTTATCCTTTCTGGACTTCTGATTGCTAACTGTAAAATGCAGGTAATAAAAGCAGCTACCTTATAGAGTTATCATGAGGGTTAATTGAGTTGATTTATCTAAGATATTGCCCTGACTGGTATGGTTCAGTGGGTTGGGCTTCATCCTGCAAAGCGAAAGGTCACTGGTTCAATTCCTGGTCAGGGCATGTGCCTAGGTTGTGGTTCAGGCCCCAGTCAGGGTGCATTCGATAAGCAACTGATTGGTGTTTCTCACATCCATATTTCTCTTCCTTTTTCCCTCCCTTCCCCTCTCTCTAAAAATAAATAAATAAAATCTTTAAAAAAAATACCTAATATGCTTAAAGGGCTTAGAACAATGCTTGTGGCATTGTGGCACATTGCAGTTAAGTGCTGTAATAAATGCTAATTACTGTATCATTCTAAATCCATGCACGCTCAGTAATATTCATATACAGTGAAACCAGGAAGGGTCTCCTCGCCCAGACGGGAGATCACAGCTTCTGGTGGGCGGCGTAGGGACTGAGGAGGAAAGGATGCTTGGCTTCTCTCTCCGCTGTCTGATCAGCTGAAAGTCAAATCAGTTAAACCCCACTGGTGACTGGATCTCAGAGCCAGAGCTCTTCCATCCAGAGACACATAATTAAGGTTTCTGCCTAATGGTACCAAATGATCAAATCTGCCGCCGACACGCATAGCAATTTTTACATTAAGTCTCGTGAGTTCCTGTGGAATAAGAGAAGCAAACATCAGAATTCCCAGAGCTGGGCCAACAGCTTCCAGACAGGCTGACAAGGCACATATTTAGCAAAGGTGCCAGAAAACCCGTCATCACATTACGCCACTGCTTTTTTCTATTGGCTACACTGTTGCCCCTCCAGGACAGTAAAACTTGTAATTTATGTGGGAAGAAAAAAAGCTAGCAAATGTTTGCCGGATCAACTTAAAGAGTATGTGTAGATCACTCTCTCCTAGGCACGCGGTCTCCTGCTCTTTCATCTATCAAAGTCAGCTGCTCTTCCTGCCATTTACGTTGAACACCTCTCATTGCCAATGCAAGAAACACCTTCCTGAAAGACCACTGCAAACATATTCATTGCTCACTGCAACCTCGGAGTTCACCAAACTCAAGACCTTATCATCTCCCAGCCAGCAGCAGCTTACAGAAATACAATGGAAAGAAAGAACTGGACTCTGAGAAATACATCCTCATCCTTTGCCACTGTCCAAAGCCATAGAACCAAACTAGAAAAAGAGTCTTGACCATCACAAATCCCACGGAGAAAGAATGAGAAGACACAAAAGCATAAAGCCCATCCCTCAAATGGGGAAATCACAATAGCTTTTCACAAAACATACATAGCATTTGCACACCCACATCCAGTATTTCTCGTCTCAGACGATTAATACAGGATGCCTCCATTTAGATGTTACTTTCAGCCACGCAACAGAAGTGCCTCCAATTCTGGGTTAATATGCTGAGCAAGACATGAGGCTCACCAGTCTTTCCACGAACAAACAGCCAGAACATAAAAAAAGTTCACAGGAATCTAAGCAATACAGAAAGATTCCACATTACGGTGTATAAGGAATATGTACACAGAATTCCTGAGGCAAAAAAAAGAAATCTTTCATTCTTTCTATTGCTAAGTAGGGAAAAGTTTCTATGTCAAGGCTTAAGCACTATGCCAGGGCACCTAAATTTATGTCTCGTCACAAACACGAGTGCTTTTAGGGGATGCGTTTCCAGGACTGGCAACAGTGCCAGACAAACCCAGTCAGAATTCCCTCGCACGATAAGGAAGGCAGGTGGCATTAGTCACTGTCCTGCTCCCAATGTTCCCTCTTGCTCATAAAGTACTGGGTTGGCCAAAAAGTTCATTTCGTTTTCTCTGTACGATGGCTCTAGTTGCGCTTAGCTGTCTTTAACGTCATTTGAAACAATTTTGTTAAGATATTACGACAGCTGTCATAACAATGCATTTAAAAAATTTCATCACAATTGGTGAATTTTTGTATAACCATTTTAGTACTGAAGATGAAATAAAATACACATTTTCAGCATTTTATGCTTTATTATTTCAAGAAAGGTGAAAATGCAACTGAAAAGCAAAAAAGGATTTGTGCAGTGTATGGAGAAGGTGCTGTGACTGATCAAATGTGTCAAAAGTGGTTTGCGAAGTTTCGTGCCGGAGATTTCTTGCTGGATGATGCTCCACGGTCGGGTAGACCAGTTGAAGTTGATAGATCAAATGGAGACGTTAATTGAGAACAATCAAAGGTACACCATGTGAGAGAGAGCCAACATACTCAAAATATCCAAATCAATAAAGTTATTAGTGAAAATTAAAAATGTATCCTTTATAATAAATAAAGGTTTATAAGAAACCATATGGACTTTTTGGCCAACCCAATGTTTTTTGTGTTTTTTTCCGGACTTTTTTACCATTTAAGCAGAAGTAAAAAAGGATGCAAGGAAACTGGACAGATTAGTTGAAATACCCTCTTCAGAAGGTCCGAAGCAAACTGTTTCCACTTCAAGTACAAACACGAAAGTTTAAGCTGTCCAACTTTTAAAAAAAAATTTTTAAGTTTATCTATCCCAGGTTTTATTTCCAAGTGCATGGGAACATAAGAACAAACACAAACTTGGGAATGGGAAGAAAACTGCTTTCCTTCACTTCGTGAGAGTACACAGGAGGGCAAAATGAAGTCCAGCTGTCTGTCTTGCTGGAGTAGATTCTACTTGTACCCTTGACCTAAGAAGTGGGACCACAGGCCCCCATTATTACAGCCTTCCTCCTCCTCTACATGGAAGAGCCAACTGGCTCCAAGGCCAACCCCTGGATGCCTACCTGCAGCACAGGGCTGTTGTCAAAGTTGTAGGCACTGGGTCTTCCTTCTAGGGTAGAAAAGGCCACGTTGCCCCCGGTGAGAGGGGAAATGTCACTGAACTCGTCTGTGCACAAGGCCTGCTGCTCGTCCTCTCCTGTCCTGATGAAGCCGCGGTTGGCCTTGAAGTAGGTGTTCTGGCAGGAGCCGCTGTAGTACTGGTAGGGGATCCAGGGCCCATCCTCCCGTGTGCGCTTGTAAATGGCGAAGCTCTCGGGCCGGCTGGTGTGGAACTTGAGGCGCACATATGTGATGTCAAAAGCTTTTCCTGTGGGACAAGCACATCATAGTTCTCATGTCATGTTTGAAGCCAAGAAATGCCCTCTGTTCCTAGTTTGCTTTGGAACTTGACAGAAAAAGAGTATACAAACCACCCTGTGTACACTAGACTAAGAAGGTTCCAGAACACACAATATGCTGGCTGTGCCCAAAGGCTATTCTAAACCTGGAAGAGGGCACGCCTTCCCACAGAAATGACAAGTTATAGTTGGGTTTATAAGTTAGCTCATAAAAGCCTGTTTTTGACATAGGTTGTTTGCCATGAAAATTGTAGCATACATTAATAGTGTATTTACGCTATTAAAAATAAAATTGAATTTAAAAACACATATTTATTCTTAGTGCTGGTGCTTCAGCAAAAGCTTCATTGAAAGATAGAAAACATTTTTTGACTTTCTAAATGGGTGTTCTGGGCACTTTCAAAAATTTTTTAAAATTTATTCCTTATTAACTGTAATATCACTTCTGAACGCAGGAAGAATATCATGAGCACTCTGATGCTACTACTCCACCAGGCTAAGGAGGAGAAAGCTGAGACAGGGAGCGGGACCGTGGCTGGGGCACGCGGTGGGGAGTAGAGCAGAAGAGAAAGGAAAGGATTCTTCCAGCGGCTGAATGAAGGCAGGGAAAAGGAGAAAAAAGGGGAAAGGTGGCTTCAGGAAGCTGTGTTTCAACATGTTCAAAGGAGGATACGTGAGTGGTGAGCTCTGATCAGGGAAGGGCAGCAAAAGGGAGGAGTCAGTGGCCTGCCAACCCTCGGAGAGAAGAGCTACCGGGCACCAGGTCAGACGGCTCCCTGGCAGCTGCCAGAGCGCGATCTGCCCGCTAGGATGGCGTGGTGGCCTGCCAGCCAGCGTGCCTTCAGGCGGGTAAAAGGTAATGTGTTCCATGGCTGCTCATCCATACACTGGGTCTTTCTACCTCTGACACTGTCTCTACTTTGCTGCTTCTATGCTGCCGGGAAGATCACACTTTGGTCAGTAAGTACTTGTTGGGCACAACGACAAGCTCAGTCCTCTTCCACATACGTTGGAGGACAGGACGTGTTAGACATCAGGGGCCCTCGCACTCACAGAGCTTAGTCTTTTCTCCCCACGTGAACTATCTCCACCAGAAGACCCGCCCTGATCCTCCCATTGGAGCCCACAGAGGAGGAGCTCCTGCGCCCTGAAGTGTCAAGGACAGGGTTCTGCCATTCTCTCACTTCTGCGTGCCCACTCATCCCCAGGGGAGTGACGCTCGGGGACGGCCTGGAATCTGCTCGGTGCGCTCTCCAGCCGCCTGTCCGAGTCCACCACCTCTCCTGCACTCCTGGGGGCAAGACGGCACCTCTGCATCCATGCTGGGGGGTGGGGGAGGCTGCCGCTATCCCAGTACAGACCTGGGACTTAGTGGGCGAGTTCAATGGGGGCAAGGAGGTGGCAGAAGGAGTGGGGCAGGGAGTAAGGGCAGGAAGTCCACATAAGCTAGGTGTTCGGGCTCTGTTCCCCAATCCAGCCGATCTACAATAAAACTGCCGTGATGAGCCGTATCTGACTCTGTTTCTCATCTGGTCCTGATCTTAAAAAAAGGGGCCTAATGAACTGTCCCTCACATACATGACACACACACATATAGGGCCTTGAACACAAAGGCATGTGGCATGACGGACAGAACACAGGACTGGGCGCTGCAGGACCTGAGTTCAGGCCCTGCCCCCCTCCGTGACTAGCTGTGTGATTTCCGCTCTCTGACTTCCCCTCTGTGAAAATGCGGGTGACAACCCCCGAGCCACCTACTTCAGGAAGTAGTTGAGAGTGCAAATTAAGACATTGTATATATTTGATTAATTGTCAGACTCCACACAAATACAAGGTATTATTTTAAGAGTTTACAAGGAAAGCCCTGAACTAGGACCCTGGATATGTGTACACGTAAGGGCCTGACTGTTCCAGAGACGTCCTGGTACGGCGCCGGGGGGGTTAGTCCGGCCTGGATCTTCTTCCTGGGAGGCAGTATGACATTTTGCCTAGACAGAGGCCATGGAAATACAGTTTACAACCCTCCTGTTAAAAGAATGCAAATTTAACCTGTCTCTTCACTATGCAGAATAGTGTCAAGATGTCACCTTGAATGAGGGTGAGTTTATAAAACAGCATCTAGGTCACTCCAGAGACTTACCTAAGACATTCTAGAGTGGTAAAACAACTTAGTCTTTCTCAGGAGTAGGTGGCTTGGAACATCCAAAGGCTCACTCACTCATCTCTAGATTACAGATTATTCTTACTTTTCTACTCTCCCTGTCTACATTTCTGACATCTCTTTAGCCACCTAACCTGCAGGAGATTGGATCAAAGGAGAGGAGATAAAATGTGTCAGGATGCCTTGGGTTCTGGACCAACATCTGTAGCGCAAAGCCACACCCTGAAAGAAATGGACACAAGTGGTCACTCTCGCTGCTGGCACCTCCGGCAAAGCAGCTTGCCTAGCATTGAACTTGGAAGCAGCCCAGCTGCTGGTGCTGGCCTTCCCTCCCCACGCCTCCTTTTCAAAGCTGCCTTTCTCATCCTAACCCGTAGCCACAGCTGGAGGAGGAAAAGGCACTGTGGCAATCTGTGCCGAAGGCGCGCGCACGCCACGAGGCAGCCACGTGCGCAGCCTGCAGAATCGCAGGCAGGCTGGTGGTGGCTACAGACCACTGCGATTTCCGGTGATGGGTGCTGGGACGGGGGAAGTGCATCGTGTTTTTTCAGAGCGTGGAGGAAAGTCACGTCATCCAGATTCACGAGGTCAAGAAGCAGTTTTTAGAGGATGTGACCTCTAAATCCAAGACCCGAGGAATGCAGAGGAACCGGCTAGGCCAACAGGGATCCAGGCAGGCACAAGAGCATGTGTGAAAGGCCAGAGGGCAGAGGAGTGGTCGCTGCAGGAATCAGAGCAGCGGGCGGCGAGCTGAAGAGGAGGCAGAACATGCCAGGCTGGACCCTGTGCTACAGGGCAACTTCAATTTAAGGACAATGGCAAGCCACTGGGAGATAGATTTATGTCAGGAAATACGTGATCTGACTTGATTTTTAGAGAGATCACTCTGGCCACTGTGTGGAGCTTAGGATGGAAGGGACAGGACTAAGGGTGGGGTAAATAGTTACTAAGCTGTGGCAGTAACGCTGGAGAGATGAAACGACTGAACTAAGAGCAGGGACAGCTGGAATGGGAAGAAATGAATGGATGGGAGTGAGACGCAAGAGGCAGACATCAACAGTAACTTGGTAACTGATGCGTGGTGGTGAGGAGCAGAGGCCACTTCTGAAAGCCTTCTCTACTTCTACCTGGTTGCCATTCTGCTTCACTGTCAAATCATCTTTTACTCATTCCATAAGGCTGAAAGATTAAAAACAGCACTTACTTTCCTAGTTTAAAAACAACGAAATGGAGAGTAGTACCATTCGCCGACACCAAGAACGGAGGAGGCTAAGCAGGATTGGAGGCAGGGGCGGCGGGCAGGATGGGGAGGTGAGTTCCATCTTGGATACACTCGTTTTGAGGGGTCTGCGGGTCACTGAGACAAGAGGAAACATCTAGTAAGGAGTTGGAGGTGAGTGGTCTGAAGGTTCAAGAGAGATGCCTGAGCTAGAAGAACAGATGTGGCATTCCTTAGTACATAGATAGATAATGAAGGCTTGGGTGGGTCGAGACCACTGAGGCAAGTGTGTTAAGCGAGAAGACTTTTGAGATCATGCAGAGAAGCGTCAACATTTGAAGCCCAGGCAGAAGGTGAGACACAGAGGAAACCATGAACACTAGAGGGAGGAGAGCAGGTAAAAGAGTGTAAATATCACAGAAGCCAAGAGGGTTTTAAAGAGGACATGATGGTGCCTGGATCTGCTAAGAGATTCAAGTAAGGTAGTGACTAGGAAGCGTCCACTGTCTTCAAGCCACAGAGGTCATCGCTGCACTTGGTGGGAGCAGTCCCATGGGCAGGGACCATGAGGAGTTGAAACTGGGCATGAATGGCCGATGACAGGGGGAAAGGAGACACAATGAGTGTGGTCAGCCTGTGATGGCATGTGGCTGAAGGGAAGAGAAAGAGGAGACGAGGACCGCTGAGGGGAGTATAGGCTCAAGAGAAGATGCTCCTCTTTCTTTTGGGGACTTTCAGACGGGAGAGAAGAGCCCGCATTGCCTGCTGTTGTGCTGAGTCGGTGGAGAGGGAAAGGCCGAGAAGGGGGCAAGGACACGGGACCGAGCCCGAGTGCCCTGACTGGACCGCCCCCAGGCAGGAGGAAACCTGCACCCTCGCTTTCCATCTGGGTGCCCATGCAGGCGACTCTGTAGGCTTTAGGGGATGGGGGTTTAAAGAATTCTAACCAATGACTTTTTATTTCTGTGCCATGAAAATCAAGGGTGTCTGCTAAGGGGGTGTGGTATGTTGGGCGGGGGCTATTTGAAGACAGTGTAGAAACTTCCTAAAAGGCGCTGGGAAGACAAGCAAAGAAAGCTGACTCGAGAAAAAGAAAGCTTGCTGGGCAGAGACAAGACTGCAGAAGAGGGTATGAGGTCGTGACTTTATATGGACATCTTTGTGCAGGTGGGGTGATTGTCTACAGGTGCACGTGGCGCCCCCTTTACGGGTACAATGGAAGGACAGGATAAGGAGACAAAAGTTACGCCAAGAAACCTGGCATTGACTCTGAATAAATATGGAAGGAAATACGGAAAACTAAAGTGGAATAGTCAAGGCTTAGCTATCTGTGCTACCCAGAATAACCTGCAACCACAGATAATGAAGAACTGGAAAGTAAGGAGCTACTTTTTATCTCATTAAACAGACCTACCACATGCTGTTTCACCATACTTTGCTGACTCTTCCTCTGGCCATCCTCCTCCTTTCACGGTGGACAAAGCACAGAGATCTAGTGAAATGGCAGATGAGTAGGAAACAGGACCAGGTCTCCTGATTTCCAGGCCAATGACAGCTACCACACTATCTCCACACTGAGAAATTGTCAA